TCCAACAGGATATGACATAATCTGGGATCTTGCACCCCAGCCTCTCCCTAGACATTGCAGACGAAAATGTAAATACATGTACATGGCTGTGTAGGTCACACATAAAAACAACTTATTCAGCAATGAAACCATGCTTATTTCTATTTTAATGTTAAGATCATTATAAAATATATATATTTGAAAAGAAATGTATGTTTTTGTTATGGCAAATTTGCTGTTAGTTATGATTTATATGCACATGAATTAACTTCTCCCAACTACCAAACGTCAAGTCATTTCACCTTGATTCTTTTGTTTAAAATGATACCAAACTCTTAATCGAACAAATCATAACTAAACAGATGAAAAAAACTTCAATAATAATGTTTTATGTCTGTCTTTACTACCTACAAGTGGTAAAAAGTATATTTCAATTGCTGTTACATATGTTTTCTGTGTGCTACTATGCTTGGAAATAAATGTTTGTATACTATAGTAAGAATGTGCATTAAATTTATTTGAAGTCCTGAAAATTTGCAAAAAAATATTACTTATCTGGACTTAGAGGTGTTAAATAATTTATAACACATGTTTAAGATGTAAAATAACCTTTCAGTATAAAAATGGCCTTGTGTGCGGAACCGAGTCCACTTTTTATCATATTTGGCCCATTCCTGTTGCTTAAAATCAAGTGCGCCTAGAAGTATGACATACTTAAGATAGAAACGTTTTGGTCATCAGTTTTTATGGGCAAAGGATGTAATTTTCAAAATAATATCAATTATAAGAAGAATTTTTAACTATAAGATAATTTTCTTACTTTTACTTAAAAAAGTGTACGACTCCGGGTACACTGACTCTAGGAAAAAGCAAAAGTAGATCTACCTCAAAGAATTGCACCTCAAACAGAAAAGAACCTAATCTCAAACCACTACAAGTATTTAGGTCCAAAATATTTTTGATGTAAACCATGGATTGAAAGCTACATTTTACATTGGTCAAGTCTGATTTTTGCATTTTCTGATAAATCAGTAGATTTAAAAATGTAAACAAATTGCAATCTGGACTACCCTAGGATGCAGCCTCAGCAGGGCTTTTTTTCACAGGTTGGGGAAGCTGCCCAGCCCTTAATTTTGGGGAAAAATCACACGGTATATTTGCAAAAGGGGAAGAAAAAACTTGATGTAAATTCAATTTTTGGGGAAAACTGCATGATTTTAAAGAAATTTTCTTTGGGGAAGCAGCCCCATACCGGCCCCTGTTATAGAAGGAAAAATGGCCCTGGCAGGTACATTGTAGATCTACCTGGTTTCATTTTATTTTTCATTTGCACAATTAGTAAATGTTAACGTTGTATTTACAGGATTTATAAAGGTAATATTTAGCAAAACTGAGTATTAAAATTCATTGTAAATATCATATCCTATGCAGTCATCGAATTTAGCACTGGCCTGGTGGCCCATGGCCAGTGCAAATTAGTTTGGATCAGTACGTGTAAATTTTATGAATTTTTAGTTAAATACATAGTAGAACAGGGCTACAAATAACATTTTGTATATATTGGGTGATTTGTGATCTATTGGGTTTATTCTATTTTCTTAGAGTTAATTCTGTATTTTTTACCCTACCCTCTCTAACCATTTGGGTTTTAAAGCACGAGTTCATGTATTTTACCCAAAATTTCTGACCTTCATTGTAGACTATGGTAATAAAAAAGCTACTTACTACTATGCTATATGGAGATTTCCAAGTATGTAGTTTACCATCATTATCTACCGCATTCCTTTCATAGACATACCTGCCAGAAGCTTTTGTGCACTCTTGCTGATGACACCATGGTCACTTGTAGTGAAAAATAACCAGCTCTGCCCATGAATGAAAGGTTTTGAGATTATCATTAGGTTGGATGTGAGATTTGGTACTGATATGATACAATTAAAAGTATTACAGAATATACATGTGAACATTTTTTCTTTCAATCATATTTAACCTTGAATACCTTTTCATCATTATGTGTTTTAATGTCTGAAGGCTATTTGAGGTTTTAACTGCCTTTTGCTGATTAATAATGATAACAATTTAACTGATACTTTACAAAAAATGGTCTGTAATTATTTTTAAAAGTGACAGAAATCTGATCAGTGTACAATGTTGTGTGTTGTTTTTTTCATTGACAAAATCGGATGATTTCCTTTACCTGAATTAAAAAAGAATTAGGCAGAATATGACCTTGAATTTATTTGTGGTTTAACCTTAGCCTTATTAAAATGGAGAAACAGAATGTCATTTGTAAGCAGTTGAAATGTATCTATTTCATATAAAGTTGCATATCCTACAGTGCATTTAAAAGGCAGATTGTGATATTTTTAGAAAATGAATTGTATAATTATGTACAATATATTCATATCTATGATAATTGCGAACATTTATTGTATAATAATATCACTTATGTATAATCCAATCATTAATTTTTAGATAGTTAATCATACTTAATGAGTTACTTCCCTTTCTCTTTGATTTAGCTGGTCAGAGAATCAGTGTCTTTTAAAAGAGTTACTTCCCTTTTGCATGTTAAAAAAATCGAGATCATTTTTACATTACATTTCAAATGAACGTAATATCCTTTCAAAGTCCCAAGGTCAATGTCAAACTCTGCCGAAACTAAAAATTCTAAGGTCAAGAAAAAAGACCTCAACTTGAACCAGACTGGCATATTCCTAAAACTTTATTCGACACAATTTTAAACTTCATAATGAGAGTGTTTGCGGGCGATAACATGATGTTGGGAAGGTGTTCGAGGACAAACATCATGTCCCTTCAATCATGTTTCCCCGTGATTCAGCTATGTCAACTTGTAAACATGTGAAAACACTGTCATTTTTCACTGACATAACTGATAAAAGGAATACATTTGTCTAAAAATATTTAGTTAATAGATCAGTTGAATCAACAATAGAGATTAAATAAGGAATGATTTAACACTGAAAATATTGGTGCAAAATGTTCAATGACTATGTAAAATCATGTTAGTTTTTTTCTGCTTTTTATTGGATGAATTTTTATGGGTGAATGAAAGCATAAATATGATAAAATTGAGGATAAGTAACAGTGTAAGAAATTAGGAGTTGAATCGACTAGGCTGGTCGGGCTACCAGATTGGAATATTCACTAGCCCAATAGACATTTCACTAGCACGATTCATTTGTTCAAATCAGTTTTTTATATTGCCTCTGAAAATGCAATAGCCTGGTCGGGCTTGTTACTGTGAAAAGTTGGTAGCCCGAGGAGAAATTTAGTAGTCTTGGGCTATAGGACTACTGCTAATTTCGAACACTGAAGTAACTGTTGTCGCCTTGAGATAATTGACCCATCAGAAGAACTTCTGAGTTCTCTAAAAATGTATAACCTGCTTTCATAATGATTTATTCTGCATGATTTGAATTTTTTATCAAGTGTCACTGAATGTGACTTTACATCGCTGGTGTCTGATAGTTGTGCAAAGTATAAAAGAGTAACCCCCCTTTTTTGGACACATGTAACCTTCAATTTCATTGGTCATGGATAATTCCTTGAAATTACATTAAAGTCTGATATCTTTGTCTACGAGTAACTCAAGGGAGAGTAAATTCAATGCTATAAGGGGAAACACTGTTGCAAAATAGACATCAACCGTCATAACCACTGAAGCATGGACTCCCAAAACATTAATAAAATGCTATTTCACTATATACTGTAATGACTTTGCAATGATTAAAGACCTATTGAAATGTTTGATTGAAACTATCATGTTTATTCTATTCATCAAAACATGACATATGATCCCTCAAACATTGACATTGATTATGTTTGTTGAAATGTTATTGGTGTGTATCACAATGTTTTTCGGGCAATATATTGGCAATATATTTTCAATTTACGGATTTTCAATTTGGGAATGATACTAGGTCGGGTCAAAAAATATTTTAAAGACATTATTTATATGTGCAAAATAGTTTGTTTTTTTAAGACAGAAAACCAAGAAATTTGATTCTGTTTGTGTCGTCTTTGATTTGAATTGACTAGAGGTAGGAGCAAAATGTTTAAATCATAGATCCAGATTGAAAACAGGGAGTTAGTTTAAAATACAATTCTCAATGAAGGACATACTTTTATAAGGTTATATGAATAGAACAAGGTTTTTTATCTTTACTTAATGTATGATTTGAAAGATTGGTAATACAGATTATGATATAACTTCTGTGACATTTCAGTGAGAACCATACGTCTAGACAAAAAAATTGGCGTCTGCCAAAAGTTCTTTATTTAATGTATGGACTTTTCTTTCCTCCATATGAAGACCTGATATTTCAAAATGGATTAAATCGTTATTTAGTACCTCTGTCATAAAGTCTTCATAGATTGAACAATGGTTCACTTGTCTCCAAATAACAGTTGTTATCTGTAGAAGAACACTATACTACTACATAATAAAATTTGTTGAAATTTTTTTTTTGTAATTATATCTTTTTACAAAAATGTTAACAACAAAATGAAAAAATTTAAAGTTTTCATTTTACTAAAACTTTTAAGTGGACTCACGATGAGGTGAGAGATAAAACAATAGTTTGAATGTCTGATGGTATTTATTTTTGTATGTGTGGAAATATTTGTGAAACAATATAGCCAGTGTTTCAGAGGCAGACGGAGCTTCAAAATTGAGTGTGAATTTATGAAAACTTAAAATATCATAATTGCACTTTATTACCATTTATAAATTTGCCGATGTTAAGAGTGGTAGTTAGGAGTGGATAATATTTACATTATTTTCAGTGCATATGAATAAAGCTGAATGTGATTAAATGAATTTGAATTAAGTGTAAAATATTAATTTATACATGTATGAAACACGGATAATATTAAATTATATTTTAAACTTGTAAATGCTATTGCCAATAATGAGTTTGTTTGTAATAAGCCGTTATGATTGAGTAACGAAAAATATTTAGAAGGTTGGTTTAATATTCTGTGTTTTATATTTTCAGATCAAAAGAATTCTTCCAAGTGGTTCAGCTGCTCATTCGGATGAACTTCAGGTCGGTGACCGACTGATAAAGTGTAATGGAACCAGCTTGCGGGCTTTAAAACAGAGTCAATGTTTGGATATCATTAAATCGGCAAGCAGTAGTGGAACTCTAGACTTTGAAGTAGTTCGACCAGTGTATAATGGATCGTCTATGGAAATATCTGTAACGGTGAATAACGGAACTAATAGTTATTCAAAATTACCATCATTTGATCCTTCGCAGTATAGTTTAAAGTCACAAAGTTACGATCGTAACGTAGATGTTGTTGTAACAAGTGAAAGCGAAGATTATTTAACTGTTAGTGAGGACGAATATTCTAGAAGTGGTCGGTTAGCGGATATTCCGGAAGTTGAAGCAAATGAAGTGTTTGTGAGTAATAGTGTTAGATTAGCATATCAAGCACCGTTAAATACTTTAGAAGAGGAAACGACAGGACCTGAAAGTGACCTTTCTCCTAGAAATGTGGATATTGTTGAGACTGAAAATATTAAAATAGTTGATCTAAATAAAATAGATACATCCCCATATCATATTCCAAACAAACAAGACAGTAAGAAGAAAACTGACCTAAAGCAATACAAAATAGTGCCAAAATTTGAAAAGGACCTGAAAGCTTCAGAATTAGGGCAGAATATTTTAAAAAGTGATATTGATGCTATTAGTGTAACAAGTGTAAGTTCGCAAAACTCGGTGCCTGTGAGTGACCGTGAGAAGAAAAGTCCAAGATCACCAGTTCCAAGATCTGACCTTGATCAAATTAGTCCAAGGTCACCAATACCAAGGTCTGACCTCGATCAAATTAGTCCAAGGTCACCAGTACCAAAGACAGATATTGATACCGTTTCTTTGAGTTCATCATTTTATTCAAGACAGTCTCAAAGTCCAAGGTTTGACTCTGGGCATATTAGTCCAAGGTCACCAATTCCAAACACTGAAATTGATAAATTAAGTGTAGCATCTTATACAAAACGACAGCAAGTTCCTAGTGAAAGTGACTCATCACATTTAAATTTGCCATATAACTATCCATCAGAAAGTGTTGGTCAAAATATTTTGGTCAGTGATACTGAAGAGACTAGGTACAACCCACTTTATGAAGATAGCAATATAAGTGAATACTCTGATTCAGAAACCCAGGAAGTGTTCCAAAATAAATCTGATCGAGAAGAAAATAGGGTCAACCCTCCATCAGATATAGATAAGTTGAGTGTAGGGTCAAATAGAACTCTTACGCAATCTGAAATAGACCAAGTGAGTGAAAATTCAGATAACGAAGGTATCGCAGTGCCGCCTCCTGCAGAATTTTCCGACAGCCATTATATTGACAGTGAAGAAAATCCTGTAACATATATTGATGATTTCATAAACGAAAGTAATTCATCAGTAGAAATCCAACCTGTTCATGACCAAAGAATTTTTTCACGTAAGGCCAAGTCAAATTTAGATAGTCTTAAAAACCTTTCATCTGATGTGGAGCATTTTGAAAATGATCATGATGCACATCTAGCCTTTAATTCAGAATTGACTGCACCATTTGATATTGTTTTGCAAGAACAAGGAATTTGTGTTCATTCTGGTGATGAAAGTATTGATGAGTTTGAAGATATTCAAAATAACCAGATTTTACAAGTTGTAACTAGCTATGACAATGGCACAGTGTTGATATCACAGTTTGAGCCTGATCATTCAAGAGAAAAAACTGACTCTCCAGCTTATTGCATAACAAGTTTTGAACATTCTGATAACACAATGGATCATAATAGTGAAGCTATGCTTAAAGATGCTCTAGATATGGAGTATGAAAATCTTCCTGAGTCGGCTAAATTTGAGGCAAGATTGAAATTAGGGGATAATGTTCCAAATGGAGATGGTGAACTTGATAATCCTGAATATGTAAATGAAAATGCTGTGGCTGAAAATATTGCTAAAGAGATTGCAAAGAATGAGCAAGGAAATTATGGATATTATATGGAGTCGGACGATGAACCGGACAGTTTTCCTGAACAAGATGCACCAGAAGATGCTCCAGATTTACCTGATATGCCTCCCCCACCTATGATGAATAATACCGACAAATATTTGGAAAATGATGTAACTGTTAGTATTGAAGGAAATAGAAATGAAAATAGTTCTGGTTCTGACAGTAATTGGACATTTAAAACTAAGCTATCAGAAAATGAAAGAATAAATAAAATTTTAAATAGGATTAATGGAGAAACTCAAGTAATAAAACCAGTTAAAATTGATAGAAAAGTTGTGATTCCTATTTCACATGGACGTAATGAAGAACAAAACGAAGATGATGTTATTGTGCCAGTAAGAGTGAAAAGAAAAGTTAGACTACAAATTCCTAGTGATAGTGATGAAAAAGAGGATGATGATGTCATTGTACCGGTGAGTGCTAAACGAAACTTTAAGCTTCCAGAAACCTTCGTGGACAGAGCCCCTTCACCGAGAAATGATATTGAAAATATAGAAATAAAAATCGAGAAAAAAGTACCTCCGCCAACTCTCCCAAAACCAAAGAGGAATATTATACGTGTCAATGCAGGTGATAGTGAACATGTTGGAGTTAAGGAAGAAATAATTACACCTAAAGAGGTGAAGAAAGATAACACAAAACAATTAGCAAATGTGATAAATGTTATCAATGCATTAAAAGCTGGTGCTAAAAATAAAGACCCAGATGTTATAGATAAAATAGAAAAATCAGAAGCTAAAGATAGAGCCAAGTCTGTGTTCAGTTCTGTGATAAAGGTTGCTGGAAAGGACGTTGCACCAGTTGAAATGTCTCCTCCAAAGCAGGAGCAGATCTCTACATCCCGTGATGAAATATCATTTTCTAAACAGCCTCGTATAGAGGCTTCACCACCAAAACAAGATACCATTGAAGAAATAAAAGATGTAATTACAAAACCAACACCAAAAAAACGAATGAAAGTAGATGCAGTCCCTGCAGAAATACCAGAAAAACCTCCAACATTGCCTGAAACAGAAGTTCCTGTGCAAAAAACAAGTATAACTGTTGAAAAACAAAAAGACTCAAATGATCAAAATGCTGAGACCACATATGATATTGTCAATAAGTCACCGATTTCAGTTCCTCCATTAAATTTGGAGTTTACATCAAGTGCTAATATTGATTCTGTATCACCAAAAAGTAATAAATCAGGGGGTAATTCTCCAACATACAAAACAACCATTGGAGTACCTAAACCGGAGTCTACTGTTAACAAACCATCAGAACCTGCTCACCAGACTTCAATTGATGTTAAATCTAATACATCAGAAATCAAAAATACTTCACAACCTAAGGATTTAGTAAAACTGGCACCAACACCACAGATCAAACCACTGTCTCAAATTAAACCATTAAGCTTCAATCCGAAATCTTTGTCTCAGACAAGTGTAAAAAGACCTGTGCAATATAAAACTTCTATAGGGGTAAAACCAGGACTTTCGTCTCTAAGCAAACCAGGTTCGCAGAAAGCTGACCATCCAATCAAACGCATGGAATCATTACCATTTGAAGTTTCCATCTTGAAAGGAATTCTTGGAATTGGAATTAAGACAGTAATGACTCCTGAAGGTCATGTCAAGGTCACAGAAATTCTACCCAATGGACCAGTTGGAAGGGAAGGAAATATCAAGTAAGAAAATTTACATTTTTTTTTACATATATTTGATACTCATTTTCTGTACGTTCATATCCTTAAGGAAATGCATTAAGAATGATGTAAGTACACTAAGGAAAGTTAAGAATAATTATTAGTCCTTTAAACCCTACTGGAAACAAAAGTGATTTAGCCTTTGCCACCAGTATCATAGGGTAAGCAGACTTACCCTAACCAGGCTCTATACTATTGATACATTATAGCTCAGTTTTTATATCCCATAAACTTTGAATGGACTGTTCCAAATTCAAATAAGGGCAAATCCATTGCACAAATTCTGCAGGTTACAGTTTTAGGGAAAAAGGCCAAGAAACAAATAGTTTTAATTTCATGCCTTAAAAGGAAATATGACAACGTAATTTGGTAATGTATATTGTCACCTTAGTGCAATAACTTGTTAACTTCTATAAAGTTTAGAAGGACTTAACCCATTACTGCACTAAGGTGACGATATAATGATATATGAGAATGGCGGATACTTGAATCTATGTTTTAATGCATAGAAGTTTGACATATTTATGATCTATTTATGTATGTTAAACCGAGGTGAAGAGAATGAAATTGTTCCAGCAAGTATTCCCTATTTGCATTTTGAAAATTGGCTATATTACTGTTGATATAGAATATTAAAATTACCATACGTCTTCTAATGAATGAACTCTCTGAAATCTAAATTTTGTACCAATTGATCTTGGGTCTACACTGTTTGCTATTCAGTCAGTATATTTTGAAATTTTCCCGAAAAATGATGAATGGTTTAGTCTAGATTGAAAGTGGAACAGGTCCATATAGAATATTAAGGGTGGTATTAGGTTTAATTGTACAGCAGGGGTTTATTTAAGCGGACGCCCGCTTGCCCGCGTCGAGTAGAAATCGCTGCGGGCAAGTGAAATTTGAAAGCAAATTGCCCGGCGGGCAAGTGAATTTTCGTTATGCCTTCTATTAGCTTTGATATCCTTTGCCGATAATACTTTTCTTTCCGTTCATATTACAGTCAAACAAGTGTATTTTTAACTGTTTCTGATTGTAGTTGGACTCCTATCAACCCATCAAATTACGTAAAAAAAACTTTTTCCATTTTGCTTTCCTTTCAAAATGGCGGGCGGCTCCGAAACTTTTCCCATTTTTAAAAGAAAAAAAATCTACAGCAATTAAAGAAAAAGCCACGGCAAAGAAAACAGCTGATTTTCTGAATAAAAAGCATAAAATCACAAAAATTCAAGATGAGTTATGTCAATAAAGACTGACACAACTGCAAGGTTCAAGAAAGAACAGAAAAATCGGGCCGTAAAAATCTACTCCTTTGAATCCTGTACGCTATTGTTTTCTTCATACAGTCAAAATTTAACTAACTGGCGTCAACTCATTTGCAATAGGCCTATAGATTTTTTTTAAAATTCGTCACCAGTAATCTTTTTTACACAAATCTTGACGAAAAATCATAATTATAAGTCTTGAACTGTTGTTAATTTATTTTCCTTTCTCCCCTACGGCAATGTTTGAAAATATTCTTACCTATTAATAAACAGAATAAAATAATCCATAAAATGTTTAAAATCCTTTTTGGTAAATCACAGCATATTGTGTTACTATAAGTTATCTGAGGTCATTCTAGGTCATGCTTAATTTACGACCAAAACAGAAAAAACCTCCTTAGGTGAAACATACAGCAAATGACGTATATTTCGTCTGACAGTTCTTTGAACCAGTCAGTGCTCTGAACTGTATGATTACTGCATGGGGTGAGTCCCTTTGATGTGACATAGGTTAAAACTTCAAATAAATTTTAATACAAACAGGGAGGATAGGAATCAGACAGATCAATTTAAATTGAGTATAACACATCCTGTCATGGACTTGGAGCAACTTGTTGTTTTTAAAAATGAAATAAATTTGAAAGGTACATTACTAGTTTGGTAATGCAAACAAAGCAAACATATTTTTGATATTTTACATTGTTTGAAATCAACAATAAACATTTAAAACCTAGCACAATTTTAACAATCAATGTACTGTTTCCTTTTTAATGTTGTTTTAGGGAATAAATATTTTTAAGGTGATAGCATCTGAATGTTAATATATTTTAAAAGTCATCTGGAATAGGGCCTAATTATTACCTGTAATTTTTATAAGCCTTAACAGATCATGTCGGACATGACTATTGTTAATCTTCACTTTCATTTTACTATTTTGATGTGAGGAATCCCCGACATTTAGGAGTTTTTCTAAATTAAATCTCAGGGATTTCTATTGGATCCCTGGCAAAGAAAGTTGTGTCAACCCCTAGACTATTGTGAATTAGCAAAAAAACATATGCAGTAGGGAATTTAGGACTATTTTACTATCTGAGGCATAAGTTGATAGGATCTGCAATAAATCTTATTTTAACCCATAATTTTTGCTTTGATTTTTAACAAACTTCACATTTAAGATCGGGCAACCTGTTTTTCCTGGGGGCAAGTAGATTTTCAAAGTTACTTGCCCTTCGGGCAAGTGAAAGTCAAAACCTTAAGTAAACCCCTGTACAGTTAGTGTCTAGGCAGACTGTTAAAAAATGTAGGCTGGCCTGAATGTCTACTGGTGGCATAAACTTGTAATTGTCTCAGTTAGCATGTAAAGATCTGATCTCTTAATTTGAGACAACATTTAACCATGGTAAATACTCTTATAGCTTAATTTTTAGACGCCGGCTCAGTGATCATAATAATTAGACTTTTTCTTCAACATTGTTGTAATCTTGCAACTGCTTTAATGTAGCCCATTCATCATTCAAACATTTTAAGTTATCAACATGAAAATTGGAATACTTGCTTAACATGACAAGATGCAGTTGTTAGACAAGGGACATTATTCTGAAAGCAATATTTTTGGAGTTATGCTCCTTTATGATTTAAAATTCTTAACAGACCTAAGCATTATATGCATATGCAAGCTCTTGTTGACAGTAATGGTCATATATAAGGCAACTCTATAATGGTTTTATCTTTGATATTTCCTCCTTGAGGTTGTTGGTCAAATACTTGTAAGTAATTTTGATTTAAATGTGGATCGAAATGGTATTTGAGGAAGGAGCCATAAATGAGAGGAATATATTTATATTTAGAAAACCAGTCCTGTTTTTAATAAATATGAATAAGTAATTTCTCTATGATGAATAAGCAATATACCAACAAATGTTTTTATTTAGTACATAAAAACATTGTCTCCTGACCTACTAAACCAGAAAATATTAGTCTAGATTACATAGAATATATTATTTTAGTTTGATTGTTTAGGAAGCTATTTATCCATGTATACTGTTGGCTTATTATAACTTAGACACAGTCTGTAATTTGTTCCTTCAGCCAACCAGTTCTAAACAATGAGAACAAAGATTATTGTCTGAGGAAAACAGCATTTCTCCTGATGGGGCTTGAATTCTCAGAGCCAGCTATCAGATATGTTAACCATTCAGACATTGTGATTCTAATATTTCAAGTCTAAGATTATGATAAATGTTTGTTTTTAATGAATATATCTTATATGTTACCTTTGAGTGAGATTTTTAAATATTTTATTAGCAGCATAAAGTGCAAGTGAAGATATTCTGTAACAAAATTACTTAAAGATACAGTTCATATTCACAAAAAAAAAAAAAAAAAATTGAGCTTAATGACAATATATCTTTTAAAAATTTTGATCAGGGACCAAACTTCTATAATCTCACTCAGTGATATGATTTATATCTAACTGATATTTTTATTTTTCAATGTCTGTATCTATTTACAGAGTAGGAGATTACATTCTGTCAATCAATGGTACCCAGCTCACTGGATTAACTAACGGCAAAGTTCAGCAGATATTAAGGCTGTTACCACGGGGACTGTCCAAGATTGTTGCATCTGCCGTCATCCCTGACCAAAATGCTGAAAGTTCTGGTATGATTGTTATTCTAAATTTAAAGCCGCATGCTTTCAGATGAGAAAAATAAATCTTTTAAGGTCTTGGGACTTAAGAGAACATATTTTTGATTAAAAAAATAAAATTATATATGTATAAGTATTCACATTCCAAAGGAAACATTGAAAAATTATAAAAAGTTGCTTATTTTACCATTTAGATATTTACCCCTTTACAAACCTAGAAGAGAAATTGCTGCAAATAAGACAATTAGACAAGTTGCATTTAGTATCTGTGAATAATGAATGCTTTGGGCTATTTTAAATCACTTAATTTGTGAGATTTGTAAGCCTGACAAAATATTTACTCTAATAAATTAATATTATGGTATTTCTGGAAATGGCAAATTTTAATCTCATAGGATCTTTTTGTATAGATAATAAACAGCACTTGCTTAGTTGAGCAAAGAAAGCAATAAAGTGAAATACATTGTATCTGAAAAAGTTTGAAAAAAAAAACATAAAAAAAATCCATTTAGCAATTTGCATATTATGTGCAAATTATGGGAGAATTTATGGTTTTTATTTATCACCACAATTTTACCATCAATATATTGAGCTATAAAATTAACATTAATCTAATGGTGTGTTTCTATATATGGGGTAAAGTATATAAAATCAATCATAACTTAATGATACATATCCATTTTTTCATGTAAAACAACAACTGTATCTTCTTGTTGTTATGTTGCTTTTTGTTGTTTAAAATGTTTGGATACCAAAATGTATATAAATGTAATAATTTAAAATATCTCTGTAAATATCATGATGGATCTAAATTTTATGTTACAGGAGATGCACAAGTGGAGAGGCCAGTGCTTGCAGCTCGCCAGTCACTTCCACCTTCAAACACAGAAAGATCCAAGTTATCACCTCGCCAATCATCTCCCTTGTCAACACCAAGGCAATCAACAATTACAACCAATCCAAATGCTTCAACATTGTTGTCAAGTCAACCAGTTCCTGCTCCAAGAGTTATACCAAGTCAACAAAGACAGGTAAAGTCACCACCCCCTGTAGCTCCAAAACCAGTTAGACGTCCTACAGTATTGGTGTCACCAGTTGTAGAGCCAAGGTCACCAGTTGTAGAGTCAAGGTCGCCAGTTGTAGAGCCAAGGTCACCAGTTGTAGAGCCAAGGTCACCAGTTGTAGAGTCAAGGTCACCAGTTGTAGAGTCAATGTCGCCAGTTGTAGAGCCAAGGTCACCAGTTGTAGAGTCAAGGTCACCAGTTGTAGAGCCAAGGTCACCAGTTGTAGAGCCAAGGTCACCAGTTGTAGAGTCAAGGTCGCCAGTTGTAGAGTCAAGGTCACCAGTTGTAGAGCCAAGGTCACCAGTTGTAGAGTCAAGGTCACCAGTTGTAGAGTCAAGGTCGCCAGTTGTAGAGTCAAGGTCACCAGTTGTAGAGTCAAGGTCACCAGTTGTAGAGTCAAGGTCACCAAGTGCATCACCAAGGCTAGATAAAGGTCAGACTACAATATTCCAGCACCAGAGACCATCCTCAACATCATCATCTACAGAATCTCCTGTTGTGTCACCAAGGCAACAAGAAGTTGTGTCACCACCTTCTGTGGCACCAAAACCACAAACAAATCAAAGCAAGCAAATTGATAGCCCAGTCAATGATCTCTCCAAACCAATTGAAGCTGAATTGTTTGTATCCATCAATGCAACAAATGAGAATTCACCTAAACCTGGTAGTAACAATATTTTACCAGGGTCAGTGAATTACGATGTCGTAGAAGGTGGTAATAAAACTAAATGGACAGCCGGGATGGTTTCCTCAGCAGATTTAAATGTTCCAGCTAAACAAAGTGAGATAAAAGGTAATTTAAATGTTGTAAGTGACACTGAATCACAAGAACCTGATGTTGTAAATGGCACAAACTCACCTACTCAAAGTGACAATATAGATAACTTAAAATCCCAAGTTCTTGACACAAATTGCATGAATGAACATTCACTATCAAAAACAAATGAAACTGATGATAATGTTATTAGTGAAGCTGTAGAAAAACTAAACGATTTAGGAAAAGACTTAGAAAGTTCACAAGTAGATGTTTCACTTCTAAGCAACAGGTCACGCACATTTAGTTCCAGCAGTAATGCCTCATCATACAACGATTTCAATGAATGTGATGTAGATGGTGAAAATATCCCTGAACAGATTGTGGAAGAAGAAGAAACTGACTTTACTGCCAAGCCAAGTTTACATGAGCAAATTAAAGCTGCGGAATATGAGTCAGACTTTGAAGAAGAAGAAGACAATGAGGAAAATACTAAAAATGAAACGGGTGATGGTGGTCTTGATATGGATCATTTGAAAACATTAGCTGCAAACATTGTGACTGGTGTCATTTCTTCAATAAAACCATCAGATTTTGAAAAGGTAACAACCAAAGATGAAGAAGCTGAAGAGGATTCAGATGATGCTCCTGAACTTCCAAGTGAAGCACCTCCAATGCCAACATCTCCTCCTCCCTCATTTGATGATATTCAAGTCCTGGAGACACAGGCTCCAACTCTACCTGAAGGTCCGCCTCCAATACCAGATACAGAAATCCCTGTTGTAGACACAGCCCAGACTACAGTTGTAGATCTAGCTCTTTATCCAGATTCGGATCACAGCAGTGAAGGTACCTTAGAAAACAAACCAGTAGAAGGAGAAAAGGAAGTGGGTGAATTAATAGATGTTGTACATATATATATCAGCACTTCATTGGATTCAGCTGCAACTTATGTCTCAGAATTAAAAGATACTGATGTTGAGCAAAATTGTATTTGTGATAATGCAGAAGTTGAAAATAATTCAGTCACTTTAAATAATGATATTCATTCTGATTCTTCTGTGCCACAGGTTATAGAAGATACAAGAGGTCAGGAAGATGATACATTTGAAGAAGCTGTTAACATTAGTCCTGCAAATGGTGATGAAAGTGATGAACTTAGTGTACATAAAGTGATTTATATGTATTCAAAGCTTGAAATGTCTCTGGATGAAGAGAATTCAAAAGTGTTTGATAATGTTAGTGAGGCAAATAATAATATAATAGACAAAGTTGCTGATATTGCAGCTGAAGAAGAAAACAATAAAGAGGCAATTATTGCAGCAAACACTAATAATGAAATTGTATATAAAGCTGACCTTCTGACTAATACATGTGAAAAAGAAAATGCTGATATTGAAAAAGATGTGCAATGTGAAATAGAATCAAATAAAGCTACTCGTAGGAAAGTAAATGGTCATTATGATAAAGTTTTTGAGGAAGCTTCTGAATCAAAAGAATCTGGTAAAAAAGAACCAACAAGTCCAAGATTAGAGTTACATAGTCCAAGGTCAGACTCCGACAGTCCAAGATCCGAAACAAAGTTTGCATCCAGAGTGGATAGAATACTGAGTGAAACAGAGGACCTGGGACGTGGAAAATGTAGCCCTGAGATAGACAAAATGATAAGAAGTAAGTACATTTAGATTTAAACTCACTTGTGCAGATTTTTCTTACTTGATAACTCAGGAATATAATGAAGTTTGAAACTGGTTTACATCTATTTCGTTTCAGTATTTTTTACAAGGTGTATTAAATTCTTTGGAAAAAAAACAACAAAAAACAGTTGTATAAGAACACTTGCAAGCTCTGCATTTGTCTTTTCATTTGATAAAGGAAGAGACATTGATGGGAATACTAAGTTTTAACATTTTTTAAGTTCTTTTGTATTAACACTGTTAATTTTGACTTTTTTAAGAAGTTTCAAATTGTGTCACAGTTCAGTAGTATTTGTACATGTTCATGAAATCCAAAAAGTTTAAGTAGCATAAATATAATTATATACATGAATCAATAAAGATTAAATTGAAATGCATAGTGGTTATGTACCAGTCTATTGTAGCCACACCCCACGCTGTCACAACGAAGGGCTGCCCCTAGGAAGGTTATGGAAATTGAGCAGAGATTTTACCTTATGGCTTTCCCTTAATTGATGGATAATTGTGGTTGTTTTGTTACCACTCCAAAATGGCCAAGGATGTGTCAAAATTGTAGTGCCAGGCTTTTAGTGGTGATATTTCATCATCTGGATGTTTCTACAGTGCATTGCTTTTACTGGGGATTCAAAAAAGCAACATATTTATTCCCTGCCATTTCCCCGGGATGGAGGGGCTGTTGTTTCAATTGACAAGTGCATAACATTAAACGTACAAGAAGTAAAATCAGACAAAATATCAGTCCTTACTGGGTAACATAAGTCTAAAACAGACTTGTGATATGCTGCAAAATCATTATTATTCATTGGGAATTAATTTTTCGTGGATAGATCAGTCCACAAAAATCCAACAAAATTTCATTTCTTCTGCTGTAAGATTATTTTGAATTGAATTATTTACATAAACATGATAAGTTTTTACATTAACAATCCACAAATTTAAGAACCCACGAAAAAGTTCTTTGGTACATAACCACGAAATTTCATGCACACAAAATTAAGTTTTCTCCATTAAAGCTACATTAAATAAATACATGTATGTAAAAATATTTTGCCGTCAAAAATCAAACATTCTACAGTTTCATTAATCTTTTTAACATTTTTATTGTAAATCTGTTCAGTGAAAGTAATCATCTTGTAAAAAGATTAAATTTGTATGAAAACAATGCGGAAATATACCGTTAAATTAGGACTGCTACTTATAGTCATGTTTGTTGATTTAAAATTGATGTAAGGATGATCCGAAGGCGGAGTTTCTCATGCAAACAGAAATTGTACTTCCCATTTCGCCACAATGAGGTTACCCATTTATATACTAATAAAACTCATTTTGGTTGTCTGGACACCAAAATAAGACCTGGAGTCGATATAAAACCCAATTTATTAATGAAATGTCGCTATTTAGTTTTTAGCTCGACTTTTCTATGAAAAGGGGAGCTATCCTACTCGCCCCGGCGTCGGCGTTGGCGTCACACCTTGGTTAAGTTTTTCGTACCACCCCACTTTATTTCAGAAGTATTACAAGTATGGCTTTGAAACTTACCATACTTGTTCACCATCATAACCTCCATCTACAGACAAGAGTACATAACTCTGTCAAGGTTTTTGACAGAATTATGGCCCTTTTTTGACTTAGAAAGTGTATTGAGCTTGGTTAAGTTTTTTGTACCACCTCACTTTATTTCAAAACCATTGGAGGTATTGCTTTGAAACTGACCATACTTGTTTACCATCACGACCTTCATCAACAGACAAGAGGACATAACTCTGTCAAGGTTTTTTGACAGAATTATGCCCCTTTTTGACTTAGAAAATACATTGAATATGGGTAAAATCCACTTATTGCCTTAACCCTTTGAGATATTGCTTTGAAACTTTTAATGCTATTTCACATCATTACCCCCATCTGTACGCAAGAGAAGGTAACTCTGTCAAGGATTTGTTTTAAAAATTAAGGCCTTTTATCGACTCATGGCCATTGTTCACTTTAAAAATACAGAGATTCTTGTATTGCCTTTTACTGCAAAAACTTTTTTTATTGGCAAGCAATAAAAAAGTCGAGCGCGCTGTCTTACGGACAGCTCTTGTTATGAAATATATTAAATGTAGCTTTAAGTGTGATGTTACACTATAACAAATTTATAATAAAGTTTGTGTGTATTTTTCTAGTGTATTCTACAAGTGATGAGCCAGCACTTGAAGGAGAAGGGGAGATAATGGAAATTGTTATCAGCAAGGGAGTTACTGGCCTTGGTTTTATTATCCAAGGAGGGAAGTCTACACCAAAAGGAGATTTGCCGATCTCTGTGAAACGAATCTTCAAAGGTAGTATGAGAATTTTTATTTTTTTTACCCTGAACCCGGTGAGCTCAGTAATTATTAAATTTCAAAATAAAAATTTTAGTTTCTAAAATAATTTCTTGAAGGAAAATGATATCTCCACTTTTCTTCTATTTCTTTCACTCAAGTGATGAAAAAGTCATCTCACATCATTTATATTTACCCATGATGCATCATTTCATGTTGATAATTCAAGCAAGAAACAACAGCGTCTATTCTAGGATCTGAAAAACGGAAAATTTTTATTGAATATTGAGAATTTATTACATTTGTTGATCTTTTTCCTTCCTATGTAAAATTTCCCCCCTGATTCTGAAAAAATAGGGGAGAATTCTCAAAAATATGAGTGAATCCCCCATCTCCCATCCTAGAATAGACACTGAGAAAATTGTGTAAGTGACAGAAATTAAACTTTAAAACAAAATTGATTTATTATTCCTTTCTGTTTTTAGAGACTATTAATATTTTTCTGCTAATTTTGCTATTGACTCGTTCCTATTCTTGCTATTTAAGGAGGTCCAGCAGACGGAGTGCTACAAGCCAGGGATGAAATTTTATCTGTAAACGGAGAGGATTTGTCGGAAATGAGACACACTGAGGCATGGAGTCATCTGAAATTTATACCTAGCGGAGATCTCGTGATGAAAATCAGACGCTATCAAATAGAATAAATAGACTGCCATTCTGTGAAGTTTTTTCTTGTGATATGAAGAATGTCTTGAAATAAGAAAATCTGTTAGTTTCGATGATTCTATGTAGCTTTGATTCAACTTGTTACGTCAAAATTAACTCTTACCATCTTAAAAATCTTAAATGGACTTTTCCATCTTTCAATCTGGACAAGACCATTTATGATTATTAGGGAAATTTTGAAAAAAATCTTTCCTGACTGAATAGTGTACAGTGCAGAACATGATTAGACGGCACATATTTGCCGTGCCAGCTGAACTTTGTCTGCACTGGTCACATGGCTATAATCTGTTGGTCAGCTGTTTAAACCTTAAAATGCATAAGAAGATATTAATGTGGTTCTGTACTTATTATTTGCAATAATTGAATTCATCTTCAACTACAGTAGCATGATTTACATTTTTTGTATGTTGTATACATTGAGCAATTATATTTCTTAACTGATCCATTTTTCGCCATTTAAAACTTTTTAAGAAATAAATTGTATCTTTGTATAATCTTCGTATATAATTGTGGTTATAATTATAATAATAATAATTATAATGAGCTGAATTTTGTAATTCACATGTGAAATGTAAGGAGATAATAATCACTCTTTAGACAAAAGGATGAAACTCTATATGACTGCAAAATCATTATTATTTGTGGGGAATTAATTTTTGTGGATATGTAAATCCAGGAATTTAAGATCCAATGAAATTTCATGTTGTCTGCTGTAAAATTATTTTGCATCACAATATCTACATTTTACCTTTGGAAAAATAAACAGTTCACGAATTTAAGAACACACAAAAATGTTTTTTTGTGACAAAACCACAAAATTTCAAGCTCACGAAATTAAATTAATTTACAGTCCTTCTTTGACATCACATGAATATAATTGTTCTTCATTCATACATGAATATAATTGTTCTTTATTCATACATGAATATAATTGTTCTTTATTCATACATGAATATAATTGTTCTTTATTCATACATGAATATAAATCTTCCTTATTCATACATAAATATAAATTTTCTTCATTCATACATGAATATAATTGTTCTTTATTCATACATGAATATAAATTTTCATTATTCATACATGAATATAAATGTTCTTTATTCATACATGAATATATTTGTTCTTTATTCATACATGAATATAATTGTTCTTTATTCATACATATATAATTTTCTAAATGAATATTAGTGATGATTTTATTCAGAAGTGACCCTTGTTGCTTTATAACATATATTTGTTTTATCATAACCCATAAATGTTTGTTACATCAATTGTTGTTATTGTTATATTTATTTCAGGAAATGTGTATCAAAAGAATGTTTTAATAAGAATTCAAAGATATTTGTAAAAAAAATTCTTTGAAGTGCATAGTCTGTTACACGGATGTCAGAGAACTAGATAAGATTGATTTAATTTCAGTTATTCACTTATTTTGTTGTTGTTGTTCTTTTTCCTGTTATTTAATTGGTTTTCTCAAAATGTTTAAATTATAACCAAGTGTTCTTTCACTGTTCCTGTTTTATGATATGTATTAAGTTGTGTAATTTAAATATTTACCGATAATTTCAAAGAGATGTTGATTCAGTTATGTAATGACTCTCGTACTTAATTAAAACTCCCCCACCGCAGCCCCACCCTCAATTGAATAATGATTTTCTATTTTTGATACCCCAGACAACTCACCTATTGGTATTTCATGGTCACTGTATCCCCAGAAGAAGGCCTACTTTCATTTAATATGCCTTCTTTATGCCCTAAAAAAATTGACCTAAATAAATATATGCCATACAAGAATAGCCTACTTCATGCTTGCATATTTTCTGTTTGATTTTCATTTCATATCCCAATCATAGACATAACATACTTGTATAGGGATAAACTGTATTGCGATAGACTGATATACTCACCTTGTAAAAACAGCGAAGAGTAAAGCTTTACATGTTACTTTTCAAACAACAGAACCATTATTTTTGACAAGAGTTATTGCCCCTTGGAACAAATCTTAATATTCATGAATAATCTTTTAATTATCATTTTCATACTAGATTTTAGTTTTTGAAATTGTTAATAGTTAGCATAGACTGAATAAAATTGTAAATTATTACAGAATGTGTGTTTGTAAAAATTTTGTTAAGGCTTAAATCAAATTTTTGTATGATTCACACATGTTCGAATTAAATTGTACACAAATATATATATTTTTCAAATAAGAAGGCTGTACATTGAATTGTACACACAGTTAGCTTTTTGTGTTTTGTAATTTAATATATAATTCAGAATTATTATTGTTCATGTTATTATAATATTAAAGGATAAAAATTTACAAAAAGGTTGTGTTGTTTTTCATTTGCCAATTTACTGGTTCCCCTTTTCCGGAATATTGACAGTTCTACTTTTCCAGAAGGTTAATGGTTCTATTTTACCAGAAGGTTCTACTTTTTCAGGAAGGATGAAGGGTTCTACTTTTCCAGAAGGTTAATGGTTCTACTTTTCTGGAAGGTTCTACTTTTCCCAAAGGTTGATGGTTGTACTTTTCCAGAAAAGTTGATGGTTCTACTTTTCCACAAAATTGATGGTTCTACTTTTCCAGAAATTGATGGTTCTACTTTATCTGGAAGGTTAATGGTTCTACTTTTCCAGAAGCTTCTACTTTTCCTGGAAGGTTGAAGGTTTTTACTTTTCTGGAAGGTTGTTGGTCCTACTATTCCGGAAGATTTACAAAAGGTAAATTGTTCTACTCGGGAGCTGGCTACTAAAGTATGATGAATATTAAACGATTAACAGATCCATATGAGATATTTAGTGTGTTAAGGGTTAAAGGAGATAATTGCAATGGAGCCATTGTTTGGTCTAACAGAAAGTACCATAAATTTAGGATAAATATTATTCATGATGCCATTTAAGATCAATTTTTTTAGGAAACCCCTTGGTCAATATAGAAGATCGCCACAAGAACATTTTGGTGATTGAAATGAAGAAAATATTCATTGATTGCTCATGAGGTAGTTAAGTAGGAAACACTTGTTAATTTGTGGAAGCAGTAGAAGGTTATCAAGACAATTTAATTTGTTTAGCTGATTTAACTTAATGCAGTTTAAAGACTTGAAATTAATGCAAATTAGGTTCATAATCAAAGGGAGGTAACTATTTCTGCAGTCGTATTAGTCTCCCTTGTTTTCAAATGCATTTCTGATTTATGCTAGGCCAAGGGAAAAACACGGTTTGTTTCCTATGCCCTACATTAGTATATTTTAAGAAGTACATGTATAATATATTTGGCGACAGGGATGATTACTGATCCTATACTGAACATATGGGGTGGAAAACCTCCCTTGGATTATTCAATATTTTGATTTTTTAGATCTTGGGACATAGCAAACAAATTGTGTTTTTACTTTGGCCACACATAAATCAGAGAAGCATTTGAAAACAAGGGAGACTAATCCATCATAAATATTTGATAAAAACATGTTGTTTGAAGCAGAAATAATTACTTCCCTTGAATTAAATAACACTAACATCTCCTATTTGGATATTTTGACGTCCTACAAGAAGTTATGCCATTGCTTGTTTTAAAATTTCATATTATTCTCTTAGATATTTGTAAAAAAAATTCTTTGAAGTGCATAGTCTGTAACATGGATGTCAGACAACTGGATAAGATTAGTTTTATTTCAGTTATTCACTTATTAATGACTGTTGTTGTTGGTTTCTTTTCCTGTTATTTAATTGGGTTTTTTTCTTCAAAATACTTAAATTATAACCTGGCCCCGTGTTCACTAACAAAAGATCAGGATCAGGATCAAGTGATCCTGATTTTATTTTCATTGTTTTATGTTACTAAAATTAATCATGCTTTCATAGAATTGAATGATATATATTCAAAATGTAAAATATTGCTGATTTGCAAAGAAACCAATCTATTTTGGGATAAAATCAACAAAAAACAAAACAAATACAAAAATTTTCAGATCAAAATAAGGATCAGTTTTAGGATCAGGATCAATATTTGGATCAACTGTAAAATGCCTGTATCTTGCAAAAATGACAATAAATTTATTCTAAAATTTCATAAACTTGCTATTGCAAGTCTAGTTTTATCAAATTAATATTAGATATTTAATCTTTGAGGATAAACAATGAAGAATATTAGAGTTTTTAAATTTGATCCTGATCTTGATCCTGATCCTTAAATCTTTGTGAACACGGGGCCTGGTGTCCTTTCAGTGTTTCTGATTTATTCATTTTCCAGAATCTTCTACCTTTTCACGAAGGTTGAAGGTTTCTAAGTTTAAGATAGGCTAGTGGTCCTATTCCAGAAAGTATCATATAATCAAATGGAGGTAACTATTTCTGCTTCAAAATACCACACATGGAAGTCGTATTAGTCTCCCTTGTTTTCGAATGCATTTCTGATTTATGCTAGGCCAAGGGAAAAACACGATTTGTTTCCTATGCCCTACATCAGTATATCTTAAGAAGTATAATATATTTGGTGGCAGGGACGATTACTGATACAATACAGACCATATGGAGTGGAAAACCTCCCTTGGATTGTTCAATACTATGATTTTTTAGATCTTGGACATAGCAAACAAATTGTGTTTTTACTTTGGCCTCACACAAATCAGAAACGCATTTGAAAACAAGGGAGACTAATCAATCATTAATATTTGACACAAACATGTACATTGTACTATGAAGCAAAAATAATTACTTCCCTTGAATTAAATAAATGCCAACATCTCCTATTTGGATATTTTGACGTCCTACAAGAAGCTACTCCATTGCTTGGTTTTCATAGAATTCTCTTTTACCCTTTTTTTGTGAGCCCTGTAAAGAATAAATATCTTATCAGACTTACCTTGTGTATACACGTATGTTTAGAGGGTTAAACTAGCTGCAGAAATGTTGTTGCCAAACCTTTTTTCTCCCTGAACAGTAATACATGTATAATTATTTGGTATGAAAGGGATTTTTATTGCATTTTTTTGGTAAGTGATGGCAATTATTTTATTTATTTGGATTTCCAACAAAAAGATATAATACAGTGCAATCTCTCCAGAGCATCTCCTTGTAGTAGACAAAGAATTAAAGGGACTCCACTGAAGTTTTTTGACATGACGGAACTAAAAAAAATTTTTTTGAAATTATTACGCCATTTGATGTAGATCTATACTTAAAACTTATGTGCAAAATTTCAGATCATTTGCGCGCTCCGTTTTTCCAGAATAATTAATATAATAGTGAATGAAAAATGACCCAAAAATGAAAAGCGTTTAAACGCTTTTCTATCAAATCGGACTGAGAATAGCACAAACATATGATTTTCAATGTATTTCTTGTATATGTCTTGATTATATTTTATTTATATTTCTGTTTTAAGTGTTCCTGTTTATCTATGTGAAAAATTAAAATTTAATGTTTTTAGGCTTATAAACCTCAGTGGAGTTCCTTTAAATTGTTGTGGAAAGGTGATGCCCTACAGAGGTAAAATTTACCATGAATCGTAAACTTTGGGCAGACATGATACTGTTGGTGAGGTGAGGAAATTGCTCTACTGTGGGTTGCTAAAAGGGCTGCACTATTATACCTTATTGTAAAATAAAATTGACTTTGCAACAAACAAAAAAAACACGGTAACTGTTACTTGGGTCCCCAACATATTCCTTCACATGTCAAAAGTACTGGTTATTTTCAGAGAAACAAAAATCCCAAGCGAACCAAATAAGCTGTAAGTTTTGGTCACTTTCAAGCAAAAAATAAGTCTGTTTAAAGTAGCCCAAAGTGAACTAATTGTTTAAAAATTGAATTTATTGTTTAAACTAGCCCAAAGTGAACTCATTGTTTAAACTAGCCCAAAATGAACTAATTGTTTAAACAAGAATAAAATGAACTAATTGTTTAAACTAGCCCAAATTATACAAATTTTTTTAACTAACCCAAAGTGAACTAATTGTTTAAACTACCCCAAATTGAATTGTTTAAACTAACAAAAAGTGAACTTATTGTTTAAACTAGCCCAAAGTGAATTAATTGCTTAACTAGCCCAAAGGGAACTAATTGTTTTAACTAGCCCAAAGGGAACTAATTGTTTTAACTACCCCAAATTGAACTAATTGTTTAGACAAGCCCAAAGCGAACAAATTGTTGAAACTAACCCAAAGTAAAGTAACTGTTTAATCTAGCCAAAAGTGAGCTAATTATTTAAACTACCCCAAAGTGAACAACCCCAATTGTTTAAATCAACCCAAAGTAAACTTTTTTAACTAATCCAAAGTAAACTAATTGTTTCAACAAACCCAAATTAAAACTCAGTGAACAAATACCTATACATATTGTGTAAATGTCATTGCAAGTAGTCAACTGCAAAGTGGGTGTAACACTGTATAATATGTCAACTCATCATTGCCTTCAAAATTAATGAAAGTAAAAATTGAAAACCGCCATACTGCAAAATCATTATTATTTGTGGGACACTTATTTCTTTGGCATAACAATCTTAACAAGAAATGGATACACCAACTGCACCATTAACTATACTTTAAAGGAACTCCACTGAGGTACAAAAGCTTAAAACATAAAACTTTCATTTCTTACATAGATCAGCTGGTGCAATAAATAAATAATAACTGCAAAAGATAGTAAAGAAATATACCCAGAAATAAATTGAAAAATATATTTTTCTGCCCTTCCTAGCCTGATTTCGTGTGAAAAACATTTCAATGCTTTTCTTATTTTGGGTTATTTTTCACAAAAATAATTATTCTGGAAAAACGGAATAAGCGAAAAATCTGAAATTTTACACACAAGTTATAATTCTAGATCTTCACCAAATTGAACATAATTACTGAAAAATTATTTTTAATCCTGTCATGTCAAAAAACCTCAGTTGAGTCCCTTTAACATTTATATCATACAAAATGACTGGTCATTGTAAATGGGGAAGTGGGGTGTGGGCGCCGTGTGGGGGCATATTTTGGATTCAAGTAATATAACAAAGCTACAAAACATGTCATATAATAATTTATTTCACATAATCCATTGAAATAGACACCCAATTACATATAATATCCCAAAACAAGTAATGACAAAAGAGAGATAGAAGGGTGAATGTGTATTAACAAATGAGAAAGAATATAAATTTGACTCCTGACTTGAAGCTTTTCCCATATATTTCAATTCACTATAATGTGTCTATACTATAACAAAATCATTATCTACAAGTTAACTATAAAATGATTTTTTGTGAAAATAACTCTTTAAAATAATGAAAGTGTACCATAGATTCATAATGTATACAATACATATAACATGGATTGATGATTTTGAACCATAGATTTATTATGTATATATATGTAAAAATAAATTCAAACCCTAGATTTATTATCTTTACTACATAAATTGATGAATTAAAACCATAGATTCATAACGTGTACATCTATTTATTATCTTTAAAAAGATTGATGAAATCAAACCATAGATTCATAATGTAAACATAAATCCATAGATTCAGGTTTACATGTACAATATATACAGATATTCTAGCAGTACAATATTTACACAAAATAATCTATTCCGTGTAGTTTGTAGAACACATGTTAACACATAACCTGCTTGAACCTGGAGTGATCAGCCCTTGCTGCCAGTATAGAGCCAGGCCAGCCTGCGCATCCGAATAGTCTGACCAGGCTCTATACTGTTATTTACTCAATATTTTTATTTTGATACTGAAATCCCTTCAAATGGACTGTTCCTAATTTTAAACAGGGCAAATCCATTTCAAAACAATACAGCAGGTTAAGTGTTAACATTGATTGTCTCCCTTTGAAAAGCAATATATACCTGGGAGAAACTGTCAATAAAACCTTCAATTATCTCCCTTTGTACAAAAAATGTGTGATATATTTGCAATACTACAGAGAAAAGAAAAATTTAAAACATCGAATATAACTTCACTGTAAAGAAATTTTGCTTATTTTTGAAACAACAAAGTTACATTCAAAATGATACTGCCATATTAAGACTTACATTTGCATACTCTAGCCTTGAAAACAAAATGAATAACTTCAATGAATTCTATATTTAACTTTTTCACAAATTTAACCTTGACAAGTAACTTACAAGTGAATGGTCTCAAACAACAGCACATTTTTTCACCAAAAAAGCATGAATTACTGGAGAAACTTACTTGCAACGACAACTATATCAAAAATACCAACATTTTACATCCATGCTCTCAAGATTGTAATCTTTCATACTGGAAAAAACAGTGAGCTTCTTTTACAAAACCAGTATGGAACCCAGGCTAGCCTTCTATACAGACTGTGTTGATTCTTCACCCGTAGCTTCTAAATTTTAATATTTAAGGCCAGGAAAACTAATGACAGACTGTTTCTAATTCAAAGCAATGCTGGTTAAGGTAAAAACCCTGAATTTCAAGAATGGACTTGTCTAACTTTTCACTTTGAGACAATCCATAATCAATTTTAGGTATTTTAATGATTTATGTTAAGAAGCTGACCAATCAACTGTTTACAGTCCAGTCAGACTGTTTAAGATGTGCAGGCTCCAGTAGCCCCTGACCGGTTGCAAAAGGCTTTGTAGTTTTCAGTTCAAGCATTGCAAAGGTTAAATAAAACTACACTTATATAAAGCCAAATCATTAGTACTAAAAATAGATATATATCAATAGATTGAGTATAGATAATTATCTGCTTATAAACAATAATCATTTGTGAAAAGAAAAACTATGTATTTGTGACTTCTTAAGGCAAAATGACTTTTTGCACTCAGAAAGCCATTTCTCCAATATACCGTAAAATTCCTAATAAACGCCCATCCCCTAATAAAGGCCCCCAAGGCCTTTTGTTAAGAGAAACAATCTACTCATCAGTGCTGAACTCATGAGTAAATCCATAATTTCATTCAAATCATTCAGAATCCATTTTATTTTATAGTATGAACTTTAAAATCTTAACACTTTTTAATGTTATTACCAACACTTGCTAACACTAAATGTATTTACAATGATTTTTAGATTTAGGAAAAACTGTGTTGTAATAATAGCCCCCCTTTTGGAAAATGTTTAGCCCCGTGGGTGTTTAATAGGAATTTTACGGTACATTGTACATATACCTACAATGTTTTACATGGTGTTTTTACATGCAACAGATTCTTATGTTTACAAATTGTCCATAAAGGACAGTCACATTTGAAAAACACTTCCATCACACTTGTGAGACATACAAAAAAATGTCTATATATAAAATAGATACCATAGTATAGCAGTATCTCATGAAAGAAAAATATTTCCTAGAAACAAAGTTTGATAACTATGTTAAACGATTTAACGCAGCTTTTTTTCTTCTGTTACTAGTATTAGTTAATAAATAACCGACATTCATTCACATTCTATTATCAACATTATTATTGCCAAAAAAAAAGAAAAGAAAAACAAATAAGAACACATTAAAACACATGTCACACGCACTGAGCAAGAGATCAGTCACACAAAAATAAGCTATTAATCTTTAATACAAACAAAAACACATTCACAAAACACAAGTTAGTCTATCTTTTAACAATTCCAAAAAAATAAAATTAAATCTTACTCATTTTACTTATTCACAATCTACTTCTTTCATACATATATATCATTCAATTTTCTTTTTCTCGTAATTACATGTCACACTTAAAAAATACAATACGCCAGATAAAGTGGGAAAAAATGAATATGTAAATGATAGATTATGTAAACAGCTTTGTATGATGCCCATTTTCAGAACTGACTGTAAATAAAATAATTCAATATTTCTAGCTACTATACATATGTACATGTACAATCAAACAATTATGAAAAGTCTGGCAAAAACTTTGCACTTATATGATAAAATAGGTCTAATAAATAATTACCTCAAGTTAGGCAACCAGTCAACAAAAGCAAACATTTTCATTGGTCAATTTCAAATCAGTGCAGAAAGAGAACCATTTTATTGGTCTATTTCAAACTACACCTGAAAGTAAACCAAACAGTCTCTTTCATTGGTCAATTTCGAACAAGTGTTGAAAATCAATCAATCAGGTCATTTCATTGGTCAATTTCAAATGACTGTTCAAATTCAACCAATCAGGCATTGGTATTCCAGACTGGTCACTAAATGAGTTTCACCACTTAAAATATGTTCAGTCACGCCAATATACATCTCATAATGTATACCCAATTCTGTATTTTTCAAATATTATCCCACAATGCCTTTCATTTCAATATATCTTCTTTTTTTAAGTTTCAGATACATTACCCAACTATGATTCACATGTATTAATAAACATCTATCTACTTAACAATACAATTTCTAAGCATATATCAATAACTAAAGTGCAGTTATATAAGGAAATAACATCTTTTTTTAATAAGGGTAATAAAATAAAATTCAACAAACAGAAAAAATGCACATACTAACAAATATCACATTTCTTTATTAAGCACAAATCCTGGAATTCAGCAAGTTTGAATACACAAAACGTAACCATGCCATTAAATTAATACAACTGTGGATGGAGAAAAAAGCCAGTACCATTTAACTTTTTAAATGAAAAATTAAAAGAGGTTTACAAAAGCACTTCAGCATGTGGTGCGAACACTCTTCTATTTAGGGTAAAAATTTATAGAGAACAATTCAACTGCACCTTGATTGTTATGTTTTTTTGTATATTTAATTTAATATTATTATCTTGTATAAGGAAACAAGAATACTAATTTGATATCCGACTGGTTTACACCGTATTTCTCTTATTTAAACATTAAGGCTTATTTTATTAATAGTTAGTGATCGTAGATGGGTGGGGCAGGGAGTCAAATTTTATATAAACTTTGCTTTTCTCAAAAGACAAACTTCCATCCCCTAACATTATAGGACTGGTATGCAAATAGCTTTAGTAAAAGATATATTAGCCATACTAACAAGATGGTCATTCTCCAGCAGCTTTCAATGTTATTTACTTAAACCAAATTGATTTTAGTTTGGTCATGTAGGAAGCTGTAAACTTACAGAAACACTTTCAAATATGTTCCTGGAACCAACCAGTACTCGGCAGTATGTGTAAAGTTTCTTGCTCAAGAAAACAAAAACAGCTTGCCTCTGACAGGTTCGAACACATCCGGCCAGCAATCCTTAGACTACTAGTCTTACATAATCTACGTGACCATGCAGCCACAATATACACATTTTATTCAAAGCCATCCAAGGTAATGTACTGCTGACTACTCAATATTTACTTTTTTTATAACTGAGACCCCTTTTATTAAGAATGGACAATTCCAAGTTTAAATCAGAAACGGGTCCATTTAATAAATTTAGCAAGCTATAGAACGAGCAACAATAAAAGAAAAACACAAACAACAACAACAAATAATGATTTCAATTGAAACATCAATATAACATGTTGCCAGCATCTGCGTTATTCAAGTTTCTGATTCACATAATGTATATATATATAATATACGAATCAATACAGTATCTAAAAATTATTCTATATGCATAGTTTGTCCAGCATTCTTTTCCCCCATTCATATGGATATATGAAATACATGATTGAAAAAAAAAATACCTAATTTAAATGCTTTAACAATTATTCAGATATTGTAACAAACAAAAATAATAGCTATATCATCAAAATACAAACTTTATTGATAAACATTTTTAGAAATTCAGCTATCATTATGGAAAATTCTTTTTTTCTGTATCAAACTCTTACATACTTTACAGTGTTTTTAACACCCAGCTGGTGGGTTTTATATATAGCCAGTGGTCACTAATAATATAAATACAGAATAGAGAATTTCAGAGTTGCAGGCCGTCAAACAGTCTGCTAGTGATTTGAAAGCATTTCAATTTATCATGGTTTGACCTAGATACAAAATATAGACAGCAAATATTTGTCACCAGCAATTTTATTTTGGAAATAGGGCTTACGAAAAGCCCTGTATTAACATATATACATGTTTATAGTATGTTTTTTTAATGATACTGATGTAACTTTGCTTCATCTAGCTTTATTTAAAGTGACTTAAATTTAACCATCTAAATATATATATCCATAAATAAGTGTTCACATCACATTGTTAATAAATATAAATGCACTTATTTCATCATTATATATTTCTTTTGTGGACTTTCACTTTATAGCTCTTAAATATCCCCAAAATCCAGGTTGGTGCTTAAATGCATATATTATTCCAAATTGGCTTTTAAAATCTAAAAATAATTAACATGCTCGACATTATTTTTGCCATACAAAATGTTACTTCAATTCTAAAAGATAGCAATATACACAATTTCACTGGGATACAAAATATCTTTTTCTGATAGAAAAATATTTGAATTCTTTAAAATAACTTTTGAATAAGAAGAATTCACTTACTAGCAAGATATATCTTGTATGCATAATTAGTTTGGACTTGATGTCTTTTATACTAAATGCCCGACATATAGACAAATCATATATTATCTTTCATAAACTATTCAAGAATACTTCATGTTTATTATGTTTTGGTCCCTTTTCTAAATTTATACAAAGCATTAAAATAATATGCCCAAACAAAAGCCAATTGATTGAAAAAGAAATATCTTTGTTATCTAAAAATGCATTGACACAATTTCTTCTGTATCATAAAACAATAACCAAAATAAGTAGAAATTAACAGTTTATATAGTTAATATAAATTACTTCAACTGTATTCTAAAGTATTCTGATTCAATGCAAAATTGCAATTTTCAGTTTAGAGTAGTCCTCTAGTTTGACAGTTTCCTAGAAGTCTGTACTATAAAACTTTTTGAAAACTATGAAAATATTTTCCAGCAACTTGCATCATAAAGGATTTTCTCCGTAAGGCGAATACAACATACTTCATCATGTGTTTCAGGTCGGCAATTGGAACCCTATATGTTGAACTAGATCAACTAGTAGTCCCGACATCAGTGTTAAATTCCATAACATTGTTACTTTCCCTTCACAATTTTTTTTGACCAGTCAAATTTTTACACTGAAGCTGACCAAGTTTTTATTATCTAGTACATAACAAGGCTGACTTGCAAGTACGTTACACTTGTATCTGATTTCGTAGATATATTTTTAGAAGAGAAGTCAAACCCAAATAATTTACATAACAAGAAATCCCACAACAATAATTCTACGACATTCCGACTCATTTACTAAACGCGGCTATAACCGCCCACATCATCTCGTTAGTGCCGTCTTTCATTGATTCCGCATCAAAGTCCAAGTCAAGAAGTTCACGTACACGTTTCATCGCCAAATCATAGTCATCATCCGAGAGAGGCGCAAATGCATTTTCGAGCACGTCCGAGGCGTGTGCCAGGAATATAAGGGACATCATTCTTTTATTCATTCTGTGCGGATCGTTTGTCCACTGAGTTAAAACGGAATCCTGAACTTTTTTAATGAGTTTTTGTTTTATCACAGAGTCAACTAGTGGATGTGTCGTCATGTCGAACAAAAGGAAGTTCTGCTTCTCTGTCGTACAAACACCTTTCTCAACCAAATTTTTTGCCAGACGTTCTCGAACATTTCTCAACTGATATTTCAACTTTAGCGGGTTCCACGTTTCACCTGAAAGTCAGTGTAGATAAGTAAATAGAATGTTAACAGAGTAAATAAGTAATACTTATAAAACTTTAAATACTAATGCTGTAACCTCAGACTCAAAATATCAAATATAAGTAAAATATAAGTAAATTATAGAAATAGGCAAAATATGAAATATTTCACCATAAACCACCATATATCAAACACTGTCACCAACACATCAACGTTTATTTCTACATGTTTTCATTTAAGCTATTGGTCAGTTCTGTCCCAAAGTAAATACATAAAATTAAAAAATTTCTTTTAATCTATATAAATTGTACATGCACAATCTGGGTACTTAAAATGGAAAAATATGAAAAAGTTTAAAAGTTTTTAATTTTAAGGTCACTTTGCACAACAAAAAAGCTATCTTTCTGTAAAATGGAGTGAAGAATGGTCTAAAATTTTGCACAAAAGTTATTGATATAGATCTACATCAAATGGTATAACCACTCCCCCCATTCCGCCACCCCCAAATCCAGTCCTATCATGTCAATAAAGTGAATAAACCTCAATGGAGCCTCTTTAAGTATTAACTTCAAAATGTTATCAAAGACTAATATGTTTTGACCAACTTGCTCTTAGCCACAAGTGCACTCAACTTCAAGTTTTTGACATTCAAGTATACATTTTACTGACTGAAATAAATCATATGATGAAAATTTACTTAGGAAAAACGGGTAAATTTTAGATTACATTGGTACATACAAACTTTAATCCAGCGTATCGTTCAACTATAACCTACAGACATACTGACTTTATTAAAGAAGCCAAACTGACAATATCTGACTCATTCAGTATGCATGTACTTCCATTGAAGAGAAAATGCAGTCAGGTGTCTTTTTAGTATGCTGAGGGTTGTTGTAACTAAGTCCTTTATTTATATAAGTTACTACAGTTTTGCTGTCAACCGTCAAAGTATAAGAGGATCAATATGTAGTTCATTTGTATATCATCACCTTAGAGCAGTAACAGGTTAACTCTTATATAAATTATATAAGGAGCTAACCTGTTATTGCACTAAGGTTACCATATACTATTAATATGGAAATCAGATAGAATCATACCTTGTTTAAAAAACAAAACAAATTGGAATACTTAAATGGGGCGTTTTTCTTCAGTCAGCAAACTAGAAATGTATTTTAAAATCATACTATATGTAAATCACCGAACCATACAAAATTAAGCACCATTGACATACATACACTTGCACACTTCATAAAGTTTTATAATATTATGTGATGTTACTGACACATGAATGATGATTTTTTGGTGATATAAATGTATGCAATGGCCCCAGGTCTTAACAATTTAGATTTAATTAAATTTGATTTCCTAATATTACGTCAAATATCCTCAATATATCAGTTACTTTTTGAATTCATTTTTTTGTCTGTAACAACTTTTGCCTTTATAATTGGGAAATTTTAGCTTGAAACTTGTAAAAAAAACTGGGAAAATTCAACAAACCAGTTACATAACTTGCTTGTTTTTTCATATTAAAGTTCACATGTATCAATAGTGTTTATTTACATTACTATACATGTATGCCTAAAAATAAGACCAAATTGGCAGAAATCTTTACAATAATGAATATAAAATTTACTGTAGGGAATGTTTAAGCTCCAATTGTGAATTTTTACAATTCAGAACAAAGCAAATTTATTGTACAAATTCAGTAGGTTAAAATATAGGACAAGTCAGCTGTAATGCACTATTGAGTGATTTGAAAGTTTTTTTTTCCATTTCAGATGCTTTGCCAAAAATAGCCAACACTTTCCTGTAGTTAATATTCTGCCATAGCCTGTATTTTTATCAATTGGCAACTTGGTTTTACAGGGAGTTATACTATCTAAGGAAAATATCTACAAAAGTCTTCAATTTTTGTTGGCACTTTAGGCTTAAAGTTATACTATCTTTGGGAGAAAGGACGTTTAAAACGGTCTTACAATTTATAATGCCTTATTCATATATAAAATAATGATGACATAACAAAAGATCAAAATAGGATCACCTGCTTGCAACAGCCTAAATCATGACCAAATTTACCAATATCGAAACTTGACCATTACAATACAAATGTACAAACAACCGTCACACACGGTAGTTTTTAGTACAAAAATGTAAACAGTGTTGTGGAATCATATAAAAATCACAAATACATGTAGCAAATAAATTCAATAGAGATCATTTGTTTAAATCCTCATTTGAACATGACACAACAGTAGATACTTGTGTAACAAATCTATGCGTCAAATATCTTTGGCAAAAGTTTTGTATGTTTTTATCTTTGATTTTCCCCACTTTTTTCAGTTCATTTCCCATATCTTTTTCTAAGAATTTTTTTTTCTTCAGCTAATAATGCTATTTTGTGCTATTGTAACTACATTTGTAATAATGGGTAAAATGAATGTCATTTGCAGATCCAGAAGGAAGGAGGGGTGTGAAATGGGGTCATGATCCCCTTCCCTGAAATTTGACTAGTATTAGGAAGCTTTTGAGATTTTGATATCAACTTTTTTTTAATCAAAAACTAGTGAAAAAATCAGCAAAATTTTTATCCATGACCCCTTGTGGAAAACTAGTAAAATGTCAATCCTGATTTGACATAAATGCATGAAGCCATTACCCCTCATCGAAATTTTACAACCCCCTCTGATAAAAGTCCTCCAGTCTGGACTCGGCACCTGAATTTGATGACCATTTGTTTAGTGGGGACTTTTTTTTCTTCATAACATAAAACAGAACATCTGCCTCATAATCTAGGGACTCAATTTTTTTTATCATCAAACATATATTTCCTAATCATAATTAACATGTAAAAGTCTACAAGGAAGTCCCTATCACTTACCTATAGATGGTGTAGCTTTTTAGTCAATTAATAATTCAATGACATGTCATAAAACTGAACTTAATACTTCAATTAAAACATAATAAAAGTGATTAAATTCATAAATCAATACCTTATCTACCTCGATACCTGTACAATAATTATTTGATTTAACCTTTTGAAAATGAACAGCCAATTCCAATAACAAGATGTCTATGCTACAAGTATGTCAATTCTACAGCATTTGATTCAGTTATTTTTTCTAAAGCATTTAGTGGAAATCTACAGATGGAGAAAAACACAACGTACATGTACATGTATAAAATCTGCATAGCAATGAAAGTGACAACATTTAATCAAACAAAATAATGTAATAAATATTCTTAATATGCAGGCAAATGTGTTCCCTGTAAATTTCAAATCCTAGAATAGACACTGTTGCAGAGAATAGGTGCTTGAAGGAGGCTGTTTTTAGCAGTGACTAGGTCCTCCAGTTTCCATTAAATAGTTAACCAAGAGCAAGTATTCCCATCTGAATGCAACCAGTGACTGACTGAATTTCTTGCAAATTACACATTAATAACTTATTATGATCAGTTTGAAAAGAAATAGCAGAAACTTAATTTTTAATTTAGCATTATTCTATTTATACTAGAAAGATGTCATTTTATTATTTGACTCATTTTATGACTAGCTTGTGTAAATACACATGTAACATTTTCAACTAGCAATGCTAATATCCAGCCAAAACTAGAAAATCCAGTCTGATATTATATTCAAGAAAGACGTTAGTTACACACTTTATTCAGATGAGAGGACAATCTACTTTCTAAAGGCAAGGCTGTAAAATATGTCTTTACTATTGTTTTATTTCTTACCTTACATGTAAAAAAAAAGTATTGAACAAAATTTCTATAAAAGCTTTGCATCATGAGTTACAAATTTTTGCAACATAAAATCTTGCAATTAACCTAACAAGCTAACAGAAGATAACAGAAGATTCTGGAGACAGATGTTCAGCTGACCTATAAATCAATTGGTTATTTACAGAAAATACATCAAACAAGACAGCAAATTCTTTCAGAATATATTTTATCAGTATATAAAATCTAAAATATATTACCGCTGAGATATTCAATCCAAGACTGAACAGTTTCTGCCGGTTCGGTCTCTTTAATATGTTTTAATGCCTCGTCTAAAAGAACGTCCCCACAGGGTGTGGCATTTTTACAGTGCACTTTACGATTCAGCAGGCTTCTCCTGCGCATACCGGCTTTCTCTACCTCAACACGCCCTTTGAGCGCAAGTTCTATTAGTATACAACCACGAAGACCTGATGATATACAGTCATTCCAGAATGATGTATAACCCTGAAAACAGACAAAGTATTAACTTTGAAAAATTACAAATTTAATGTACAGTGTATGTAGTACAACATACAAATAGCTGTAAACAAACTTCCAGCTATCAGTCTGCACGAAAAACTTTTTATGGACAAAGACATTCGGGCTTGGTCCATTAAAATATCACATAGCCCGAACAAATTTTAGGTAGCCCGAAAATTCATACAAAATTTTTCATAATTTGGCCAGGTTTTCAAATTTATATATATTGTGAAGAAATTGATAAAAAGCTTTGTCAGTTGAATAACATTTATTTCTGATATTCTACACTGAAAGATAATAGATTTCTTTCAACTTCTTGTTGACTCATTTCCATAGGCTCATCTTCATCTATACCAGAATCATAATCCGAGTCGCTGTCTCTGTCAGAACATTCCCCGTGGTTATGATGCTGAAAATATTACGGAAAATAAACTGAAATTCATTGTTATTAAATAAGAATAAAATTTTTCAAAACAACACAAATGTTTTACTTTTTAATATTATAAGTATATTAAAATTCAAACCTAAGCTAACATGGCAAACTTGTGAAATGGATAGCTTTTCTTTGAAATCGGAACAGTCAATTTATAATTATTATTTAAAGTTTTAAGTGATTTCAGTATCAAAATACAAAAAAAATGGTTAGTCTAGACTGCAGTATAAAATTGAATACGGGTTGTAAAGGTAAAGAGCTGAATTCTGGTTGCTTGTTTTTTTTTTTTAATAAGTAAACAATTAACAACTTCATGAAAAATGTTTCAAAAAGTAGCAATATACCTCTTCAGCAAATACTTGTTCTGGAGGAGAACTTTCTAAAGGTTTGTCTGTGTTGATATCAGAATCTTGCTCTTGCTCTATAATACATGCATCTATGTGCGCCATTTTGACATTTTAATAACGCGGTATTTGATTGGCTTAAAATGTCTATGCATTATTTCAATAAGCTTACCCCTCTGGCGTTTTGGAAATACCAGTGTCAATACTCCGAAAAAAATCAATATGCTATACCCCTCTCGGCGGTTATAAATAGTATCGACGTATATTGGAAAATCCCGTGTCAATACCTCGAAGAAAATCAATATGTTCATCGTCGGATACCCACGATTGATAAACATGTCACATACATCGCCAAATCAGTTCTTCTGCAAGCAGATATCAATCATAAAGGAAAAATCACGCTGTAAAAGTAAATTATCTATACTTTCTTGCTGGAAATCGTTTAATTTTTCGATGTTAAACTTTTTATTACGTCATTGGTTGTCGCAATATTGTCTGTAATACCGAACGTCGTACAGAACGAGCGTTTTGATTGGTTTTAATCGCCTCATGAAATCGTGAGGCAGCCAATGAAATAGCTGCCTTTGACACACCTCTAATCGACTGAATATCGGCAAAAATTCCCACGGCTGATGAATGATAATGGTTCGGCCGTGGGTATCCGACGATGCAATATGTTATATCCCTCCCAGTCATTGTGTTTAAAATTCTATTTATAATCATTTCGGTTTCCCAAACAATGCAAGACCGTCGGACTATGTGCCCTGCCGTTTTAGCTAGCCCGAATGATTTTTTACTAGACTCGGGCTCGGGCTTTGCGTATTTTTCGCAGACTGAGCTATATCAGTGGATGCATCTGAGAAGATCCCCCTGCCGAGGGTAGCGACCTGCTTCTGGGCATGCTTGATTAAAATAAGTGGATGAAGACCTTGGGTGCCACTCCATGCATTACTTCAGGTATAAAACGATCACCAAAATCATCTAACCCAAGTAGAACCACCAAATGACCAATGTCCTGTAAGCTAGAGCTCTGGATCTAGCTTACTCGCATGAAAGAATCCAAAGCCTGTGTCAGGATTCAAACCCTAAGCGGTGAGGGGCAAGTTATTTTAAGTCAACGACCTTAACCACTCGGCCACGGACACCTCTCTGTGACACCATAATATTGTACCACAGGACTGCAAGACCAACTGATCTTGCAAACTGTCGGTCTAAATGTCTGGCTTTGGCTACATAATAAAATGTCCTAGCACAATTTGTTGGGCTAGTCATACTGGATCCCCAAGGTAATTTATGTTAGAATTTAGCCTCTCAACTAGGATTTATAAGACGTCAGGTTACAACTTAGCGATTTTGAAATTTAAACAAAATGAAAAAAAATATTCCTGATGAAAGTTGTTGTTCAACCGAAACAAGTAGAATTTTTTTTTGTATTTGTTTTTAAAAAGCAAAACTGAATATTTTGTATTCCTGGTTAATTTTTATCTAAGAAGAATAAAATCTATAATTTTCACATAATTTGCAGGTCTGAGCCTGACTTAGTCCAACTAATTGTACTGCGCGACGAGATATTGTGCTATTTTCGTGTCTGGGCAATATCTCGCCTCTACATACAACCTAAAAAGTACCTTTTCTGTGGTGAAATTTGCGCCGGGATTTTGAGCGCAAGCTTTGGACCGTGTAAAATCGTATTTGAATTCATGTTTGAATAAATTTGTTACGATACCTTTAAAGATTATTCATTTGTACATCAATTTCATGTTTTATTTGTGAAAATATTCCTAACATAAAGATTTTGATAGAAAAGTAAACACATGCACCATCAAAATAAAGACATCGCCGCTAATGTCACGTGACAAATACACTGTTGATAACTACACTGGTGTGTATGCGGTACTGCGTTACTGAGAAACGACGAAACACTCTTAGTAAAATATCAAGTTTAATGTTATATTTAAGACATTTATTTATGCAAAAATTAATAATTATGATAGGATGATAATATTATTTTATTGGAGCAGATGCACAACTTATTCGTTATTGTCAGAGCGTTCTTAGAAATATGAGAATCATCATAGCTACTCAAACGGACTTCTCATTGTTTATAAAAAAAATATTTTGTTCAGCTTTCCAAGTAAATATAGGACATGGAACGTATTGGTATCTATAGATTTTTTTCCCACGATTATGATGAAAATAGGGATATGTTAAGAGCTGAAACATGAGGTTTATATGTTTAAAGAGCAATGTACGTTTCCCTAGTGCCTTGGTGACTACGAAAAGACACCATTCTAAGGAATTTGACAGTCTGTTATTTATAATCAGGTTGATTAACTATAAAATGCAGGTTGATTAACTAGAGGAAAACTACTAAACGATACTTTCAATGTTCAAAATAATTTTTATCAATAATAAAACGAATAAATGTCAAACGCGGTGCCTCCACATGTATGTGCGGAAAAAAAACAACATTGGAATGTAAACTTCTTTTTTTTCTTTTTTTTTTTTTAATTTCTATCCACGCACGTCCATAATTCTGGACAGTTTACTCCAAAAAGCTTTCTGAAGATGTTTTTAGAAAGAAAAACACACACACGTAAGTATGAAAATTGTTTTAAAATGACAGTGGTAGCAGAGAAAAAATACTCGGAAATTAATTTCATGAAACAGGTGCCTGCTTCAAATTTTTGTTGTTGCTTTTTGGTTTGCAAAAGACTTTCATAATGTTGGTATAAAGATTTATATAATACATTTCATTTTTCTGCCGTCTTAGAAATGATTTTATTTTATAAAATACATGCAAGTCGGAGTGCGACGCGGTTATTTAGCAAAACGCTGCGCCGCTAATTTCTTTCACAGGCACTTGGTGTGTGGAGCTCAAAACGCCTTTAAAATAAAAAAAAAATCTATATTAAAAATTTTGTCAATCCCAGCACATGTACTGATCATATTTATAAAAAAAACTTCATATAAGCCGTTTTGAATTTTTTTTTATATTTCAACGGCTAAATAAATACACAAGATAAAAATGTCCGCCGGAAAAAATCTGCACACCTACCGTCAAAAACACCATGTATTTTATTCTGTTTCCAATATTTTCACATAATCCTTTGTCCCATTGACACAGAAGATATAATTATTCACGATGATGGTCAATTTGAAACTTCAACGTCAATATAACAGGCAAAATAAACACCGAGATTATCGCCATTTTACTCCATTTACAAAATCTTTCGACAAATTCAAACGTGGCTCCCCAGCTTTGACAAATATACATTTTATTTGGATTTTAAAGGCGTTTTGAGCTTCACACCCCAAGTGTCTGTGATTTCTTTGATTCTTGTCCAATCTTATAAGATTTAAGGGTTATGCAACAAGTTTACTCATTTTAAACAATAATATGATACAGATTGTTACTGCCCTAAATATAAAAGGTGTTGCTTTGGAAAACGAACTTATAAAATCGGTTAGAAATCACGGCGACTCTTCAGTACTTTTTTTTTCAATATTTTTTTTTAGTTTTTGATATAGAACGGAAATTAAGATTTTAACCTTCTAGTCAATTTAGATAGAAAACCAGAAAATAGTTCCTAATAATCAAATGTCACAACTCAAAAGTTAAAAAGTTGGCATATCTTGCGTAAATTCAGACCGTATTTGTAAGCCGGGAAACTGTACTGAGGAAACTCGGGACCGTAACACATTTAAATTCTTACCACCGTTTAAACAATTTTCTTAAATGTATTATAGAAAGAAATTTAAGCATAAGATTATCGTCTTTAAAACAAATCATCAAGTATATTCATAATTATAAATTGAAAAATAAATGCATATTACTATCTAAAAATAACTTTTCTTTTCAATTTGAACCGTGTCAGCATGGAAAATTGTTTAACTGATTCCGGAAAGAAATCACGGCTCCAATTTAAATACTTATCTATAAATCAAATTTATTTATTTAAAACTTAATCTTATAGATTTTAAATTGACACTAAGAAATTAAGTAAGGAAGAAACAGGACTGCGCATCAATTATAAATAGTGTCAACATTTCCAAAGTGTATATTGGCCAGCGTACCGGTGTCGGCGTTGTGGAATAGTTGACACATTTTAAAAATAAATATTCGGTTGAATATATTTTTTTTACCGGGACAAAAACTTATCTGGAACATCCCTTAAACAACACCCAATAGCCAAGCCAATACGGCATGCTATGATTACACGGATAAATGGTACATGTACACAGGTTCTTTCAGATACAGACAAACGAAAAATAGGCGCTCGGAGTAACGAGTTTTACTTTTCTGAAAACTGTTGAGGAATGAAAAAATAACGCAATATTTTACCATTTGAATTCAAAAAACTTTCATAGCGTAATGAACGTTTTGAAAACAAAACTTTACAGTTTACTAGGCAAGGAGTTGCTTTTTTTAATACGCAGCAAGTTGTGACTAACATAATTTACCACGGATTTTATTACATAAATCCGTGATTATACTAACAGATGATACTACAAAGTGGTGACAATAGACATTTTAATGAAATACATTATTTGTTTATCCTTTAATAAACATGTTTATTAAAAAGAGGACTAAATTAAAAGTCTCCCGCATCATTTTAATGATTTCAATCAATTAGAAAAATAATTAAAGATTATTTCCTGGCGATTTATTTTAATGTAGCAATAAATAAGATTAATAATAACAACATTAAAAAATAATAATTAACATTGTTTAATAGTTTTTTCATATTTTTTAGCCACGCAAAAAAAAAAGAAAACAACACGCACGGTACCGAACAATATCGATTTTTAGCGTACATGTTACATTACTGTAGCAACATCACAATATGGCGGCGTTGGTACACAAATGAGACGGTGAAATGAAACTAACGTGGTTTACTTTCTTCTAGGTTGATAGTCTGGCACTTTTTGTGCTGTTAATACCTTAAAATTGTATTGTTGAATAAATTCTTAGTTTAAATTGTCTGCATTTTCACATTTACACCGAAATTCACGTTTCACCACAGAAAGGTCTCCTTTTGGTTTTGACGTTAAAGCGAGATTCTGCCCCAGAACGAAAATATCTCAGAATCAAGCTTTGGCACGTCAATATATTTTGACTAAGCCTGACTGACATGCTGAAAATGACATCTTTAGATTTGTATGACCTTTAAATCGATTTAACTAAAATAAACAACCTCTCTGTCTTTAAGGCCAAGCAACAGTATTTCTTCCATCAACGTCAATCGTGTCTCTTTCGAGTCATGTTCATCCTCGTCCACGTCTTCTACGGGTGCATTTTCATCATGATCGTTATTTGTACCACCTTCAGCACCATCTTTACCTGTCCGCCTTCTTTGGATAATACCGCTTGTCCTTTGTGTCAGACTTGTCATGTTAACGGTAAACAATATCTAAAATGGGCAGCAATTTTGTTATTTTCCTGGGTGTTTTCGTTGATTTCCCCAGATTGTTTTCAAGATGGCGGAGATGACGTTTACTGAAGGGAACATCGGTTTGTGATTGGTTATATTTATAAAATGATTTTGTCGCATTTATTTTTAATTTCTGAAACAATAACAAATATTTTCTTATTAAATCACTCTTAATATACATAACTAGCAAATAATTAGAAAAAAGGTATTTTTAACAAACATTTTTCTGCCTCATATTTGAAAACCTCTACCATACTGTTTCAGATCTCTGGTCCAAAACTTAGAAAATTAATAGTTTAATGTAAAAGCATTATGGACAGAAATCTCTAAATCTAAGTCTTACATCTACGTAGTACCTAAAAAGGTTAATAAAATAAGGGATATAGATATTATCAATATAATATCATGTTATAGAACTATATGTCTCTGATAAAATCATGTGAAAAATAAAAAAATTCGACCAATATGTTAAAAGTATCAAAACTGAAAGCTGTGGTTTGGCACCCCTCAAATCAGAAGGTCAAACATTTACTGATCCAATTGCAAAAGCAAATATCCTTAACTCCCAGTTTGAGTCTCTCTTCTCTTGGCCTCAGCCCCTTAGCTTATCCCAGGCTTGCAAACAGAAGCTAAACAGAAGCTTATTTCAAAACACCACCCAGTATCGATATCGGAAGATGGTGTGAAGAAACATTTAAAAGGCCTAAACCGAAATAAAGCTTCTGGTCCTGACCAAATATCCCCTAGGTTACTAAAAGAGCTCCATCAAGATACCAGTTACTCCCATACTGACCCACATCTTCCAGATCTCACTTAAAACAGGTATTGTCCCAGAAGACTGGAAGCATGCGATAATTGCCCCAGTTTACAAAAAAAGCCCAAAATGCAAACCCAGCAATTATAGACCAATCTCCCTCAAATGTATAGCGTCCAAATTGTATGAGCACATCTAAGTGTCCAATATTACGTCCTTTTAAGATAAGCACAACGTCCTTAGCCCCTATCAACATGGCTTCAGGTCAAAACGGAGTTGTGAGTCCTAGCTAGTAAGTTTCTCCCAGGAAATTCATGACAATCTTGAAAGTGGCCAACAAACTGATGTCATAGTCATGGATTTCAGTAAGGCATTTGATAAGGTGGACCATCACAAACTTGTGCGTAAATTAGAAAGATTGGGTATAAGTTATGAGGTTACAAATTGGGTCCATTCTTTCCTTAAGTCACGCCCCCAGCAAGTTGTAGTTGAAGGTCAAAAATCAGGAATTCTACCAATCCTCTCAGGTGTCCCCAAGGCTCGGTACTATAGGTCCCTGCCTTTTCCTTTCTTACATAAACGACCTCCCGGATAGTGTCAAAGGTAAAGTTAGACTCTTTGCAGATGATACTGTTGTCTACCTAACCATCAGATCTAAACAAGATGCCCAAACCCTCCAAGATGACCTTCTTGCTTTAGAAACATGGGAAAAAGACTGGTCCATGGAGTTCAAATGTGAAGTTCTCAGGATAACAAGTAAAAGAAACCCTGTAATATTTCCTTATACCCTTCATAACATCAAACTAAACTCAACTCAAGAAGCAAAATACATAGGAGTCACTATTAGTCAAGACCTTTCATGGACCAAACATATAAACAATATTACATCTAAAGCAAATAACTCCCTTAGATTCATTAGAAGAAATGTTAAAACCCCAAATAAAAATATAAAGGAAACTGCATATAAGACCTATGCTAGACCTCAGGTTGAATATTGCTCCATAGTTTGGCAGAAGTACTTAACTTATAAGATAGAGTAAGTCCAAAGATCAGCTGCTAGATATATTTTTAATGACTATGACTATACAATTAGTGTTTCAAAAATGATAAATGATCTTAACTGGCAAACCCTTGAACAGCGTCGAAACATCAGTGCTGTAACCTACTTGTATAAAATCCAAAACAACATTGTTTTTGTTGACCACCAACACCTTACTCAAACAAGAAATCTGAACTACCTGATACCCTACTCGAGGACACAATATCATAAAAATTCTTTCTTTCCTAGGAGCATACGTCTTTGGAATAGCCTTCCTCTAACTGTTCAGTCTAGCCCCAGTTTAAACATCTTTACTGAGAGGCTTGACCCATTCTATAAATTCTAAATCGCACACTATGTCTTTTAAATTAATAGTCTTGGAGAACTTTTATTCTTTTAACTTTTTAAATTTGCATATAAATAGTGTCTTTTATTAACAGTTCCCTGACAACGCGCCTGCTAGTCATAATCAGAATTGATTGTTAAGCAGTATGGTGTAGATGTAGAAATCATGTACCATGTCCTGTTATTTAAAAGTTTTAACCCATTTTAGTAATTTACATGTAAAGATGGATTTATTTCAATATAATATGAACTTGTATGGCTTGTCATAAAATATGCAAAACAAAGGCAAGATGTATATGAATTGATACATTGTAGATAGCTATGCCAAACAAGAATAACACACAAAAAAGTGAAAACAAACTCTTATTTTCAAACTCTTATAAATTTGTGACCTCTTTATATATAAATAAATGCTTTATTTGCATTTTAAAAATTTCAGTACAAGTTTTTTATGAATCACCTTATCGAAAACTACTAAAATAGAGAGAAATAAGAATCCCTAAAGGAAGTCCAGCACGGCAAAATTGAAAATGTTGCAGGCTCGGTTTGATTGAGCCTGTTCATGGACGGTACTGTAAAGTGCAAACTACCGTCCACGCCCCCTAGCACCGGCTTAAGCAGAATACAACATTTAAACATGAAATGGTAAAATTTTGAATTTAGAAACATCCGCAGATGTGTTCATACGGCGGTCTTCAATGTGACACATAGTGCCATTCCATGAAAAGCGGCGTATGGTCCCCAAGTAATAAAAAGGTTGTGCCCTAAACGAGAAAACAATGGGCGGAACTAAACAAAATGGAATTTTGAAAGGGGATCAGACGTCATGAAGCCTGCATATCACAGATAAGACGTCAAAAGACAAAGTTAAAAAGCAGGCCACATATCCTAAGGGTGATTCAACAGTATTCAAGTAAGGAATACTGGAACCACCCAACAAGAAAGATGCTGAATAGAAATAACTAAACAATACCACAAGCACAACAATTAGGTCGTGCTGGCTGTCTTCTTTATAATCTAATACGAGAAGGTCGTTTTCTAGCATCCTAAGTTGATTTACACAGTCATATTTTTTTCGGAATCTATGTGTTGGAGATAAAATGTCTAAATCTTTGTGATTAATGAGGCGACAATGTGTTCTAGAGTTTTACAGATGTATAGATTTACAGTTTTTACACGTGTAAGCAGAAGTTGGCCAGTAGTTAGCTGGGTTTGATCTGTACCACAGTGGGGTCATCCGCCTTAGAATTGGGGCTGCATGTACATTAATTTTACATGTCAGTTAACGTAGTATATTTCCCTCATCTATCTATTTCTGGAAGAGGATCCCAAGAATATGCGATAGATCTGATTCCAGAGTTTTACGGGTAATTGACTTTAGTGCTTGTGGACGTGTACAGTATCCTGTAATGACCACTGCCGTCAACGGACAGACTTAATCAATCGAACCTGAAACATTTTTAATTTTGCCGTTGTGGCGTTCTTTGAGGACTTGTTTTCTCTAATTTACCTTATTAGGCCACTCCACTTGTGAGGACTTAAGGACTTAAGATTGACCAAACATTTTTTTCTGACATCGACTCATATATTTAGATGTTGGGCATTGTTTTTGGATTTAAGAAGTGGGAGTGATGTTGAGTCTTGTCTTGAATGCTTGAGAAGGAAATATAAGTTGTAAGTGTTTTGTTTGCACTCTAAATAAACTGAAAAATGTACCTATCACTAGGATATCAAAATGCAACCAATTGTTGAAAAGACAGATGAATCTTATTCCTTTTTAAGTACCAGCAACGCATGTTGTTAAGATATAAGGTATGTCATGTAATTCATCTGATATACTATGTTTGATTACATGTAAAATGATTAAACAATAGGTTGGACAAACTAGTCAACAATGTACGTCTCCAACAGAACTTGAATTTCTATCTTTTAATATTTTGTATAATTGTTTAGTCGACATTATCGAGTATTGTTGGCAAAATAGAAGAAATACATGTATTTTTTTTAATAGAAGGTCGTTTGATAACCTCGGAACAACATTCAAAATATCATTTTATTTAGTTTGGTACACTGTTTTCTCGTGCAGGGCGCACTTATTCTTTTGGTTGAGGACCTCAGGACCATACACCGTTTTTCATAGAATGGCACTAAAATAAACAAATTAACGTGTCTCATTGAACATTCAATGATAATCGTCATATAAACATAACCGCAAATGGTTCTTTAAAAGTCATATGTTACCATAGCCAATTTCATATTAAATGATTAATTCTGCTTCAGTCGGGAGCATATGGAGTCATGGACGGTAGTTTGCATCTTCCGAACAGGCTCAGTCAAACCAATTAAGCCTGCAACATTTTCATTTTTTCTGTTTTGAAAGTTCTTTAGGCCTATGTATTTTCCTTTATTTTGTCAAGAAGTAATGATGTAGCTGTTGTATGTTGTTGTGTTATTAGTAATTAAATATTTATGAAATTCTATGTAACTTATAATTTTAAAAAAATCGATCATTTATGTATTATCAAAAAAGGTTATTCCACTTTCTCTAAAAATAAGTTTAAATGTTTCTTTAGTTATTCAGAAACAGATTAATAAGTATAATATAAATGGCCTTTACGTTGATAATTTGCTGAAACATATATATTTTTTTCACCAAAAGGAAGAAAATTTCATAAAATTGTATATTACTATACCAGAGACGTTAAAATACATGAATATGTATTTATATGTCTCTGATTATACACGTGCATATGTATATAACAAATATTGTAATCAACTTCACTGTAAATGTAATTAAACAATTTTGTTATGGAAACATGATGTAGGTTTGTTTTCAAATTAAACAATTTAATGCTCATTTATTTTCTTTTAAACAAAATTTAGTTTAAGTTAAAATGTATTAAATCAAAGTATCAACTTATTTTGTCGGGGAGTATTAACATCGATGGTATGGTACAGGTTTTTCACAGTGTAAATTTCATTCGCTGCGTTCCTAACCAACAGTGTTGTCAGGGTAAACAACTTTCAAGTCACTTCATTTCCTTGGAACGTTTATTTACCTTTAAATCCAAGATGAGTGTCAGAACATACAATCCGTCTGTTAGAGTTGGAAACTGGAATGAAGATATACAATTGGAAGAGGTCAATTTTTATTTTCAAACATATTTATCTTGATTCAATGAAAATGTTTTCGTTTCTTTCTGATGAACTTTGTTCAACTTCAAGTGTTGTTTTTCCCATATAATATTATATGTATTATATAGTCCAATAAATCAGACTGTACGGGCTTGTTATAGTTTATGTTTTGTTGCCAAGAAGTGGAAATATCTCAAAGCAACGTCATATGTATAACACTAATGTGTCATAGTGTGACTAGAACAGTAGAATTAAGCTATCTTTTTTTAAAAAATGAATTGGATCAATTAATGCGCACAAAAAGCCGGTTCAGTTAATTCAAGAGCATGATAATTGATCTCGTAAAATTTATTTAGATAGATCTACTATCAGTGGTCTAGTTTCAGCACAGGACCTGTTCGGACTCAGTCATTGTCATTTTTTCTAGAAAACCGGCAATTCATAAGAAAATGAGCTGTCATGCAACAGATGGTTGGACAAAGAGTAGTAGTTTAAAAAAAAATTAAAATTACTTTCACATGACTGTGTTTTGTCAAAACTTTACCTTGTTAACACAGTGGCAGGGGCTTCTGGCCATTGTACCCATGAACAGAAAAATTACCATATGATACCTGAATAAGGGTTTTACAATAATATCATCTGTGGATAGGAAAGCAGTTGATTATGATACAATGAGAACCTATCTAAAATACCAGAATTTGGACATATATTATTATAAATGAATTAATTGCTTTGATGTGTATAATATCATGCAGTGCTAGCACTTCATCTCATTTACACATAAAATGTGTTGTAAAAATCATGCATGTTAATTCTTATGATTACAATTTTCAGGACACACTCAAAGACTTTTTGCAGAAAAGGGAAAGTGGGGAACTATTATATCAGAAGAGAACAAAACTTGAACAAACAATTTTTAAAAAGGTTAGAACTTATGTGACTTAAAAGAATTAAATGTAACTGCTTTGACAAAAATGTTAAATACCAGATTCGTTTGAATAAAATTGATTTCATTACAGTACTAAAAAATTTCTAAATATTGCAAATGATGTTGTTGTAAGCTTTATTCCATATCACATTTATTGCTGTCTCTTAATTGACAACAATAAGAAGATATTTTAAAAGATCTTTCTTTTACTGAATAATTGATTTCTTTTTGTAAGTTACTTCTTTACCTTTCGGTGTGAATATATGACATATATCTCATTGAAACATCGGAAAATTTAATACCATCATGAGCAAGTTCTGTTGATGCATATTGACATTGTATATGAAGCCTTAAAGGGACTCCACTGAGGTTTTTTCGACATGATGGGACTGAAAATATTTTTTCTAGATAAATGTACCATTTAATGTAGGTTTAGACCTCTAATCTTTGTGCAAAATTTCAGATCATTTCCGCACTTCGTTTTTCCAGAATAATAATTCAAATTGTAAAAAATGACCCAAAATGAAAAGCGTTTAAATGCTTTTCACTAAAATCTGACTAAGAAAAGAATAAAAATATGATTTCCAATTTATTTCAAAGTATATTTCTTAACTATCTTTGCATATTTTTTCTGTTTAAAGTGCCCCAGCTCTTGATGTAAGAAATTCAAATGTTATGTTTTTAGGCTTTTAAACCTCAATGGAGTCCCTTTAATGTGCTCAATTTCTTAAATGGACTTGGTAGAGTCCATTATCAATTTTGGGGATAATAAGATGAAAATCTAGTTAGCTGGCCAACAGTGTATAGAGCCTACATTGGCATGTAGTTCACTGCAAACTGGCTTGGTCATATGGCAAAGGCTTAACATTTTCGGCTCCAGCAGGTTAAATTTGAATGATGTAAAACAATGAATGTTAGCCAAGATAATGACTTCTCCATTCTTAATATAGAGTCAAGTTTGCGTGCCTCGCCTTGCAGTCGGACCTGATTCTATACCTTCAGCAGCTCAATAAAAGTATTTTGATATTGAAAAACCTGTATTTTACAAATGACTCTTCCAAATTCAATGCAAGGCAAGTCCATAATGCAAATAAAGCAGAATAAGGGGTAAGTTTTTTCTCAAAGTTGCCATTGTAAACTTGTATCTTTTTCAGATTGATCTAAGTATTTCCCGAGATGGTTTGGTTCATTTTGGAGATAAAGTAAACATCAGATGCCCTGCTGCTCTCGATCGTACACAATACTTTGCACACAAAGATCCTAGAAATGAATGCAACTTAGCTGTTGTTCCACAAATCAACAAAATTCTTTACTCTAATAAATTCGAAGGTCCATGCAGTGTCACTGGGTGCAGAGAAGTGGCAGCAAACTTAAGAAGCACATTTGTTATAAAAAGGTATAAATTAAGAATATTTGATAAATAAATTCATAATTATAAGTATAAAACAATATATTCAAAAAAAAATTTGTTCAAATTTTGCTTAATGTAATGTTTCTACTTAGCACAGTTTCTTTTGTAATTAGGGTATTTTAACCCTATTCCCATCTACTTTTGAGAAATAAAAATGATGAAAATTCTTGGGGCTTGATTGGCCTTTAAATATGTTGTAAAATGTTTTATTTATCTTACAGTCCTGATGGAATCCCAGATGGTGAACCACTCCGATATGGACAGGTGTTTTATCTTTGTACAATGGACGATGAAGGTGGAAATGTAAGTTTTTGCCACTTTATAATATCAAACCTAAATAAAATATTAATTACAGTACTTTTATTTTGAATTAATTTGGAATTACTCTTGTTTTGCAAAAGATATACAAAATAGTATCATAACTTCATATGATGATGACCAGTTCTAACTGTCACACCAATTTGAGGTCAAAGGTCAAGGTCACTTTGTTAAGTTTTACCTTTAATAGATAATATGTTACAGTCAACTTTCAAAAAAACTATCAAAGATGTTCATTTTAAACTTGGTTTACATGTTTGAATTAAAACTTGGTTTACATGTTTGAATTATTTGACCATGGTTAAATTACTCTTGTTGGGCAAAAGATACACAAAATAGTATAGTATTTGATAGTTTTCAGGCATTTTAAGTGACCTTTTTTATTTTTATGCTTCATGCTTCAGAATGCAAGCTACATGTAAATTATCATAGAGTTTAAAATGAACATTCATTACTAGTATATTAACAATCATGTACATTATTATATAATCTATTATAGCTATATCTACACAGTGATCGAGTATCGCTACACAAATCTCCAAACAAGTCTCGTCACCAGGAAGTGTCGTTAGTCTGCGAACCATCATTTTTAACGGAATGGAAAATTCTACATATTAAACCTAAATTAAGAATGGAGTATGAGGGTATTCCAGTACCTGTAAGTAACTATTTTAACATTTACCACCCTAAATGTTTTACATGGACTTGCCCATCTTTTAATCTGGACAAAACCATTTATCATTTTTAGGGAAAATTTTAAAATATAAGTATATACTGACTTAATAGAAAACAGTGCAGACCATGATCAGATGGCACAGATGTGCCGGCTTGTTTTTGGTCCACACTGGTCACATGGGTATGGTAAATTCATTTGCATCTGCAGATTTAATGTTTAATGAAAGGAAAATGATCAGAATTGTGTACAAGTATGATCATGCCTCCACATTGGGGGTGGGTGGGGCATACAGATTAGATCTGCCTCTGTCCCGTCTGTGTATTTCGATCTATAGGCTGACAAAATAGTGTAAATTACTAATGTAGGGGCATCGGTATCCTATAAACACATTTTAAGTTATCTTATGCTTTTCAATGAGATATTGAAAAAATATTGGCGAGATGTAACTGAACGAGATTGTTCATTTATAATGACAATATTTATTAAAGGGTGCTCATGTATTATTCTTCAAAGTTTTATCTGTATCATTGTTAATGATTTTGTGTGAAAAATTTATCCCATATAAGGGTGTCTGTATGTAAGTATATTGATATGGGAATAAAAAAAGGACTTCTTTCATACTCACTGCTGAAACTTCACTTAAAATACAAATGAACTTGAATTATCTTTCATTTTATTTTACAGGCCAACTGTAAGATCATATTCCACCATGTGAAAACCGGCCAGAATTTGAGCGTTGAGGAAGAATTCTGTATTCGCACATCGTTCGGCACCCGAGAGTACGAAATCTCGTCTCACACATACTTAGATTCGCACCGAGCTGATATGGAGCAAAATCATTGGCAGATTGTAATGGGTGTTCCCGGAGATGAAGTTTACCCCGTCACGTTCCCCTCATCAGGAACCGCGTCCACAACAACGGGCACTTCATAATATTAACTTTTAACATTGTTTTCCGAAGATTTTTAGTAAAAAACTTTTTGTCTGGAACTAAAGCAAAAAATTGAAATTGTGAATTATATACATTATATCAAGTCTTGCTTTTGAATCAATTTAATTGAAGATTTTGAAACATAAATCTTAATCCTATATATTTTTTACATAAATTTCTTGTGATTATGCCAATTTAAAAAAGAATGGTGGCCATTAGGCATCTTATTGACAGAATTTATGTAATCTTCTACCCCTGTTAAGATATGTTAAAAAGGTTTAAATTTGTTCATATGCTGTTTCAACAAAAAATTTTTTTCAACTAAACCTTTTTTCTTCAGGAATGATTTTACTCATTAATGATTTTTTGTAATGTATATGTAAGTGTCATGTGGTAGAAATTTTATTTTTTATTGCAAATTTAAGGCGTTTTTGACAATGATTTCAAGAAGATATTAAGTTGTTTGTCACATTGTTGAAGATTGGGATGAATATTAATAATTTAGCATTAGAGACCACCAATTTTGTATTATACCTCAAATAAAGAAATTATATACATGTATAAATGACAGCATTACACTTATTCCATTGAAAAAAAAGCTAAAACTGTGTTACTTTGTTAAGCTATATATTAATGAATTAGATATTGTTGTTGTTGAATTTAGTTGAGATAATTTTGCAATGTTATGTGTGTGTTTTTTATCAAAGAGATTGTAATGTATTTTAACTAAAATGAGATTTTTCCCCCTATGACATGATTGTTGTGTAAAAATGACATTAAAAACGATGTCGTAAAATTGACATAATTTTAAATCAAAAATGAATTTGATATTTTTATAAAATTAGATATGAATTACCAAACCAATTTTATCATGCACTTTCTCTGTTATACACCTGAATTCAATAAATGGACTTGTCTCCCTTTACATTTGGAACAGTCCATTTATAGTTTAAGAAACATAAACTTGAAGAAATCTCCCAATGGTAGAATTTGAATAAGCTTCCACGCTTAAGTAAAACATTAACTATGCAGGTAATCATTTCTTCAGTAGCCCTAAATTGGAAACAGTAGCAGTTATTCCAAGTCAAATTTTATATATATTGTTATAATTAATAATGTATTTTATTTAATGCAAAATAGTTTCAATAAATCTTTTTACCATACTTTTCTTTTACACAATAATACTGCCTTTTAACCATAATTTTATATTAATTAAGTACTGTATGTGTATTTATTGTTATAGAACAGAACAGAATAGAATTGATTATTACATTATGTCTTATTTTCAAATTAGTAGACACTGTAATTATTGTAATAGTAGTTATTGTTTGGTGTAAGTTTTGATGGTATCAATTATGCATTACAGAAAGCATTACTAACCCCAAGCATTTTCAAGAAAATGATAACAAAAAAATTGTTGTTATTACACAGTATTTGAACACCCCACACTTCCAACCTGTTTTTGTGAGGTATATATATTTTATATGAAACAGTTTTATAAATGAATAAATGCATTATTTATCATATTACCCCCAGTGTTTGTTTTTTTTTCTATGTAGGCATTATATACACTGAAACAGAGGCGTCTGATACCGAGTGGTTAAGGTCGTTGACGTCAAACCACTTGCCCCTCACCATTTCGAATTCCCGCCAGGTACTCTGTATTCTTTCATGTGAGGAAGCTATCCAGCTAGCCCACTGAACGTTGATGGTTCTACTCGGTTTCCTGTTCGTGGCTGAAATAAAGTACACCAATATTTATTGTACCTAATTAGCATGTAAGTTCTTTTGTGCTCTGAACGAGAATATACATGTCTAGTCTGGGATTCCATTATTAATTATACGTACTTGTTGAGCTCCAAACTTTCTTAAATATTTCTTTTATGTTGGACTGCCTTACGCTTCGATTTACTAAACGCACCATACAAGATTTATCTTGTTGAATAGTTCCTTACAGTTCCACGGAGCACTTTAGACCTTTTCTATTTTAAATTGCAAATACATTATTATTATACTATACAGAATGTTGTGTGTGCACGTGCGAAAGTGCATTGAAACCATTTTTCACATCAGTTTTTTGATAGACCAGATAACCCGTGCCTTTGAATTTTAGTATGTTTTGCACATTATGTAAACGTAGATGTGTTTGAATTGTCTTGACTTTCACACCGTGTTGATGCACTATTTAAACTATGTCGTGTTGCAGTACCTTGACCCTTTATACATGTAGTTCATAGTTTTGAAGTGTCGATATAAGCTTTGTTGTGTTGCACTTTTATCAAAACACGCGTCATGTGTTGGGGAACATTTGAACGTCCTCTTTTACAAGTCACAGGCAATGTACTATATATTTGTACTATATATACTATATATACGTTGTGTTGACAAGTATGCTTTTACACATAGTCCGTTTTGATGCACGGAATAAGCAATTTAGTATTGTAGTGTAGAGGCATTACACCTAACAACCTTTAATTCGCTGTGATTGTGTTGATGCACTTGCCTATAATCTTTGTGACTAGCTTTTAACCCGTTAAAGCTGCATGCCTCCGGATGAGTCAAAATATTTCAATAAGATCAAACTTGAGAAATATATACTATGTTTTAGGAAAAGTAAAATGATTCAATATTCAAGTAATAATTTACATGTTTTGTGTGGTTAATGACTGATTTTTCAGTAGTTACAACTACATTTCTACCGCGTTACTAACGCAGTAAGATCTATGAATGCATATTTTGACCATTTCTTTTGGTAATTTACGTGGATTATAAGTGTCTTTGATAATGTGTAAATTGTTTCCTTTGGATGATTTCACAATATTATACATTCAAATACACTTTTAAAATGTTCATGAAAATTAGCGTGAACCTGGAGGCGTGCTGCTTTAAGTTTTGTTGCATCGTCTTTCTAATCTTTACATTGATAGAGTTATGTTGTGTTGGACACTTTCGACTTTCAAATTGTGACTTGCAAAAAAAAATAAATTAATTAATTAATAAATTAAAAAATAACTTAAAAACGTAAAATATGTTGTGAATTAATAAGTTATAGTTTTTACATGTATACATATCTAAATTTCTTGTTTGTAGATTCAATAAAGTCCTTTGCTTGATCCAAAAATTGTCGAATTTGGCGCTGTTTGATCAAAAACAGTCCGAGCCGGTCTATGTTGATGAGCAAGACCTATTATAAAGTAATTGTCAAAGTAAGGTAACTTATCCGTGATGTTTTTGGGGCACTTATTTTGTATTACCTCCCTTTGTTTAATGTCTACAATTATCATATTTCTAGTATATTTACACTAGTATATATACACATATAATGTCAACTAAGGTGTATCACAGAGTATATATTTGGAGTTTTAAACTCCATACATTATAGGTAAATACAGTATGAATACAAAGTGTCATTAAAAAAACTGCTGTTTTTATTTGTTTTGGTCGTCAGACCAAACAAATAATGGTAGCGATATTTCAGACCCTGATGCTCTTATTTGCAAATGCCGAACGTAGTGAGCGGTTTCTTCCCTTTATATGTACACTAACGCCGAAAAATTAAGGGGAGATCACTGCGTAAAGATTGTCAAATGACAGGCGCTTAAATGTTCGTAAAGAAAATATAGTTCCCGATTGGTCGAAGATTTCTAATATTGTGTTATTCTTATAGATATACATGCTAATATTGAGCTCCATGATTATTTACATCAGTGTTAAACAACAGGTTTACCTTGAACAAAATATATCGAAATTATTAAGGGTTACAAACTCTAATTTAGAATCATATGGTTTTCTTCAGACTGCTATCTTATAATTTCCCCGTGGTCGAGGGATTTACACGCTCGCGTTGGAAGCGAAAGGTCTGGAGTTCACATCCCACTTAAGGCAACTGATCTCATGTTCTTTTTTTTATTTTTTTTTATGCCAAATAAACATTGAATTGAATATCAGTGTTGCAATTAGTCTTATAGCCAATTTACTATAGTTATAACACTGGGAACAGCATTGGTGACACTATACAAACAAATTGGTTTATAATCTCACAATATTCACCTTTCTGACATTCTGAGACCCAAACAAATTCAGCGCCTTCTGTGCTTTGATTTTTTAAGAACTTGGCCCGTAGTAGTATAAAGTTTGTATATTTCCTTATTCAAATTAGGCATATAAAGTAAGATTTTTCTTGATTTTAATAGATTTCAGCAATAGAAATATTTTACTAAAAGATGAGCATAGTACATCTTTAATTAATAACTCTATTCGTTCACTTCACAATATTTTACTTTTTATAATTTTCAAAATGTTCATGATAATAAGCATGCAACTTCTGGAGCTATGCTGACTTTTCTGCATGTTGTTCGAGTTGCTTCGCTAGCTGGTACTAAATTTTGTCTTCATTTGTACAGAAAGTACTGTTTAAAATACCTGAAGTCAATATAAATGATATATCATTGAATTAATAAAATTGTCCAATGAAAAGTCTAACTTGATCAAGCAGAGTTGTCGTTCGTGTCTCACAAAACATCATGAATAGTGATAATTATATTGATTAAAAATCATGTATTTAGTCAGGTTTAGTTTAAATAAGCTTTAAATCACATGTATTTTGATCGATATTTTAATGACCATGTTAAATTTAACTGGACAATGACTTGACTTTGTTTATGATCTCATTCAGAAAGTTGCACATGTGAAGGTTAAACGACTTTTTAAGACGGACCACTTCAGAATGACGACTTCAAAGTGACTGATACATGTATTTAGTTAGACAATTCGAGAATGAATCATTCGAGAGTGGCCATATAAGATACATGTAGTCCATTTGAGAGTGATTATTTAAGAATGATAATTCGAGATTGACTTTCCGATAAAATGACCATTCGAGATTAGACATATGAGACTGAGACTGATCATTTGTGATTTGAAATTTGAGATTCACCGTTCAATATTAGCCATTTGATATTTTTTATGAACAACAGAATATTACATACAAAGCGTATTTTAATAAAAAAATTGCTTAAAGAAAGATGCAAAAATAAAATGTATGAAATAAAATCACGAATTTGATACTTTTAATCATTTACCCTTACTATAATATAGTTGGGCATTTTCTAAATTCATTTTTTCATGAATCTCAGATGGACCTGTCCGACAAAACCATTGATTTTGATGGAAAACTTCAACATAATTATGTTCTGAATAAATAATGAACAGTGCAGACCATGATCAGACGTCACAGATGTGACGTCAAATCGTGGTGTGTGTGATAGACTATTGTAAGTCAAAAACTGTTCAAATAACAACTTTTATTGATAAAAAGTTTAATTCCACAATTTCTTTATTCAACCCTGAAAAGCACTACTTTTGCTATATTTAACAGTTAAAAGTTCCACAAAATGCTCTTGTCACCAGTTTTCACGACTGTCAGGATTTAAAGCCAAAATGCAAACTGAACACAGCCTGTCATGGCTACTTATATAGACTCTGAAATAGCCAGGACTGTCACAATTGACCAATCATAACAGTACATTTGCCCTGGCAGTCTGGCAAGAAAGACAGGAATTTCTTAAAATGGCAGCCATATTGACAGGAATAATTTAGAAAATGTAAATTAACAAAGTTAACTAAGAACAAAATATGCAATAAACACTTGAATTACATGCTTAACTTGATGCACTTAATATCTGGACCAAAAACAATCATGGTTATAGCTTAGAAAACTGAACAATTGATACAAAAAGATTCCAAGTGTCAGGAATTTGAATTTTCCCTCCTGACAAACTTAGAGGTCATACTGGTCATCAAGATTATTATGAAATACAGCAATTCCAGCTAACTATTTGGAAAGTAACTTATGTCTTAGGTAATTAAGGATTACATTCTTTGTTCTTACATGTAAAAAGGTAAGTATTTGTATATGTTTATGAAAATATAAGCATTTAAAGTTTTGAATCAAGGTAGACAACTCTTGTCGGCCATTTTGATGCCAGGATAAACAAAGTAAGTGAATAAATCATTTCTTGAAATATAAACCTCCTTAAAGTGTCTTGATATAGTCCTAGAGCCTCAGAATGTCCTATATTATTGGTGCGTTAATTCCTTCATTTACCAGAAAATTATCTAAACAAATAAATTCAGCAAATATGAATGGCTTAGGCAAGTTCAGGAATCCTGGCAGGTAAGTTTTAAGCATTAATGACTGAACAATATTACCTCACTTGTCAATAAAATTATGCTAGTTTGATGTTCAAATTGTCATAAAACATATTTTGTTTTCAACTGATATATTCATTACAAAGTCCTGAAAGTAAATTATTTGATAAACATCCTAAGTCCCTTACACTATGTTGTCACCGGCAGCCTTAAGTTAAGGTATTGGACCAAAACTTTCCTAAATTTTGTCAAGTACAATGTACTTTATTTCTTATTTATATAAAAAATCTCTTCATCTTTTTAGTAAATGTGTACCCCATAAAGTAAAAACTTTTGAACTTGAAATATTTTCCCCTTTACTTGATCTTTTGATTAAATT